AAATCAAAACCCACCTTTTCAAAACTGCTTTTAATGTGTGACCACTATTGTGTGTTTTATGTTTTTAATGTATAGCTTTTATATATGATGATTTTAATGTAAAGTGTCTTTGAGTATTATGAAAAGCGCTCTATAAATAAAATGTATTATTATTATTATTATTATTATTATTAACAGTCAGGTATTATAGCAGCATCAGTATCCTCTACGTAACATGGTGAGTTTCTCATTTTATGACATCTTAATTTTGACTTAATCATCCCTTCTGAGGCGCTCGGCCACCCAAGTGCACTCCAAACAGAATACACTGTACATATGCACGACGGCACAAAACACATAATCTCACCTTCCCACATACTCACCACTACTACACCTGTGACTCCCACCCACGTCCTCCGTGACCCACCAACGCCCTGTTCTAACCCACATCACAGACCCATTTGATACAATGTAACACAGCGGTCATGTCTAGGCAGCCAGATCTTGAAACTCCATGGATTCTATCTTCTCTCCTGGATCGTGTAGACTGCCCACGCGGTCTAGTTCGTAAAGTCCTAATGAGTAGTAGCACCGGGATCATCTCCGCCTACGGCCACTCTCATTGAACCGTGGAGAGGACCTGGACGGACTCCAGTGAGCTGGCAATGAATCCCGGCAGCAGCTGAGTCAGAACTGTGCTGCTGGCTTCCCTCTTACTACCGAGTGTCAGTCTCCCTCAGGCTGTGGTTCAGTCTGTGGAGAACTGGCCCCTGGCAAGGATTCCTGTGCTGGCAGCAGCAAGGTGTGATCCATAGCTGCTGTTGTGTGGATGAGTCGGAGACTGTCTGCTTCACAAAACCAAACAGAATCTCGTGAATTGAGTTTCACTGCACTATTTCTGGACTACTCGAGCTGGGCCTCGTAGATCGCAATTTTAGCATGAATCTGTTAGTGCTAGATTAATCTCCTCAATTTTCACCAAGAAATTCTGTCAGACTTGTTATCGTGCACTTTTTCATCCACCTGTTTTTATGCACATGGTCAATATACATAGCCCATAAGTGTGAAAACATTTTAAAAACAGAAGAAAGCACTACTAATTGACAATGTGTTTCACGCTTCGCTGTCCGAGCTTGAAAAGAAAGAAATGTAATATATGACATCTGCTTTGGTGTCATCTAGCGTTGATACACCGCCCATGTGTTGGTGCTATTCACTATTACATTCCTCCACCCCACCAGTAAGCCCACTATGTAAGGAATAAATAAAACAGGTCAGCTAGCCTGATGGTCTAGGTGGCATAGCCTGCTAAATAACTTCAATATCCCTACTTCGAGTCGTAATTTATTCCTTAAAAAGACATTTTATTCCAAATTCAAAAATACACATTTCGCTCTTACCTGTAGGGCTATTTATCAGTCCAGCGCTGTCACAAGCACGAGCCTCTCTTTGATGCATTATTATTGTTCCTCTTCAGTCTCAATCCCCTAACAGTAGAGGTGGATGCACGCACATGTGTAACTAATTAAGTAATTCTCCCCAAAGTCTCCATAATTGTTTGCCCTGTTAACACAAGAAAAAGAACAGCAGTGATCTATGCCAACATGAAAAATATCTTGAGGTTAAACTAGAACCAGGCAGAAGACTCGATCTAAGTTTCTACTGAAACATGAGGACATATCGTTTCTATGTCTAGATGTGCGCCTCATCAGACACATCATTACTACTCCAGGTCCATCCGGCTCCACACGTCTGTGTGGAGGTCGGCCCATTATTCAGCCGCAGACAGACAGTCTATTAGGGGTGGGGGGGGAATCGATACAGCATAGTATCGCGATATTTTGCGTGCCGATATTGTATCGATACACAGATGCCAAGTATCGATCTTTTATTATATAAACTATTACATTTTTTTATTTATTTTTTTTTTATTTTATTTTTTTAGAAAAATCAAATCAATTACTTTTTCAGTCCACTAGATGGTGCTGAGTTATTTTCTGGTGAGGTCAGCAAAGGTCCCGGGTCAGCGTGATTGGTAGGAAGTTGGTCAAAACAAAGATAGAGACATGTGGCCTCACAACGGGGTTAAATCTGCCAACAGTAGCCAGGCTCATGGAGAGAGAGCAGCGCACAACTGTCTCTCTGCCCTCGACGTCCACGCATCGCAAGTTATACTGAGTTATATAATTCTTATATCCTACTTATATAAGTTATAGTTCATATACTGAGTCCACACATTTGCATTTAGTTAAGTTGGACTATGTAGTAATACAAACGGTTCAGTTTGTCAGGTTCATGCAACATTTATGACATTGTTGGTCAATGCTATTTTGCTGCAATAAAAATGATTGAAGTGAGATGAACAGACTGAAAACTTTATCTTATTTGATAAAACATGTTGACACAGTTTTCCTTTGGGGACATAATTTGAAGTTGAAAAAACTAATAAATCGCAATATAGGCCTATGTTATCGCAATACTCAGAATATCGCAGTATCGTGATAATATTGTATCGTGACCTAAGTATTGTGATAATATCATATCGCGGGACCTCTGGTGATTCCCACCCCTACGGTCTATCTGCCAAAGCAGCCCATCTCTTATGACACAACTATTCACTATTCAGCTGCTGCTGCAGCCGCTCTTCCTGCTGCTGCTGCTGCTGCTGCTGCTGCTGCTGGGGATATTAACAGATTACCCCTGCGCTGACCTTTCGTGGGCTGAGCTCTCCTCTTTTCCACAACAGACAGCTGTAAACAATAGCAGTAATGGCTCCCTTTCCCGTCGCATTTGTGTACTTTTACACCTCTCCTGTTGCCTCTGTGAAGTGTGAGGACTCCAGAAAGCTCACGGTGTGTGTGGATGTGGAGTATAAAGGTATTATTCTCCAACAAGAATGAGGCAGACGGCTGCAGGAGCAGATTGCAGGGTTTAGTTAATGACCAGATAAATGTGCGTTAGTCGGTTGAAGGGCAACGCTCTGTTTTGTGTTGTGTGAGCGGCAGATTTTGGTTCTTGTTCTTACAGGCAGAGGTTCCTCCCTCTTCCACCGAACTGTGCCAAGAGTCATGCCGGTGTGGAGAGCCCAGCCATCTGCCACTTTGAGCGAGAGAGTGTGTGTGTGTGTGGGTGTGTGTGTGTGTGTTCTGTGATGCCAGCACAGGATCCTGCGTTGATGTGCGTTCCTGTGACGCAGTAGTCTGAGGCATGAGTTTTTAATTGAGGGTTTTTGACTTCACATGTTCTTATCATAGCAGGATTTTAGTGACCAAAGCATGTCTGTAGCATTCATTGCCATGAATGTTTGGACGTATATCCACGTATATCCATGGTGACCAGAGGATAAAGACTTGATCCCCTGACTTTTCTTCTAGCGCCACCAGCAGGTCAAATTTCAATACTTTGCTCTATGTCCAAAAGTAATAATGTTCCCATCAGCCTCAGCTGTGCCTTGTGTTTTGGTTTTAGTGCTAAGTAGAAAACACCTGGTAAACAAGAAAGGAAAGGAATTCAGACTGTGTTGTTCTAACATTTAGAACAATACTTGGCCATATCTGTCTGACTGCTTATCAGAATACTGAGATCATACTGAGGCTGGGACTGTTTAATCCTCTGGCTTCTGTCACACTTTTGTGTGTGTGTGTGTGTGTGTGTGCGTGTGTGTGTGTGTGTGCATTATCAGAGAGATTTTATTTCCTCACAGATAGATCAACAAGAGGGATAGAGAGAGGAGGGGTGATCCACAGAGAGGGAGAGAGAGAGAGGTTGCCACCCTGCAGAGCCGGGCCCTCTACTACCAAGCAGGGTTTTGGGTCAGCGAGGTAACTTCAGGGCTCACCCTGGGTTTTCAGTCCCATGACGGTGATTCACTTCTTATCGGGGTAGATCGCCATGGTAGCTTCCACTGCACACGTAACCTGTGCCGGATCGACTTGTACAAAAGCTCTGCCTACTCACTCAAATAATATTACACAAATACTAAAAAGTTCAGCCAGGTAAGCCAGGCGAAAACAAATTTGCCAAATGCAAAAAGGACAGCTGGCAAAGAATCGCAGACTGTGTGAATTAATAAGCTTATAGTCTAATATCACATCCCCATCTAGAGCACAATGGATCTGACTGTTAATGTGTGCATTGTGTTGCTTGTATATATTCTTATATATTTTAGCCTTATTCTGTCAGCTGCAACACCAGCGTTGTTTCCCAAGTTGCTGGTGTTACTATTTTAATGATGAATAACAATTCAATAAATGTATATCTATGTATTTATTTTTACAACGTTAAGAAAGCAACGATCAAGTCGAGCCTGACGCCGTCTCACACGTCAAAGAGTGATGCGGTCTCTTCCACACAGTGAGGCATACAGCTTATCAATTAAACCTATTTGCATTCATTCACGCATCCATCTGTACTCTCAGTAATCTCGATGTGACCTCTTTATCTCACCTGTTGCCTCATCACAAGCGTCACCGCCATCGTCAAACACAGGTCTAGCGTGACTCTGCGTTTGACGAACAGTCGGTACTATGATTCATGACCTCTTTAGTTTCCCAACAGCTCCCTGATGAAGTTACTACTCCTCCTCCTCCATCTGTTGACAGAAACTCCATTCACAGCCCGTTGTGATTATTAACCACAGCAGAATGCACATGACCAGCACCACATGGCCCATAATGATTAAGTCAGGCGTCCCTCCTTGCGAGCCATTCTCATGCTAGTCAGTGTATATTGTGCTGGTGGTGCCCAAACTGAGTGCGCTTACATGAGACAACCTTCCTCTTTCTGAATAACATGAATGTTAATGATGATTGTCATGGAAGTTTTTAGGTCACATGCTCAAGAGTCGGAAATAACAAAGATGTTAAGATCAAGACTTCGACACAGGAAACAGCTTGACAAATGAATCAGAGTGACACTTTCCCAAAAGGGTGTTAGCATGAAGCATTTTTGTTGGTCAGACAAAACAAGAGCGGTAAACATTCAGACAGTAGATTGACTCCTTTTCTCTCCTCTCTCCACAGCCATCAAGGTGAACTGTCACGGCTCATGTGGCATCTCCAACAAAATGAACGACGCCTCGTGGACTCTGGAGGAGCAGTACTTCAACAGCACGTTGTCGGTGGCCGACAAAGGTCATGACAGTGAAAGCATGATGCTTTTATTCGCTTTTTCTGCCGGTTGTCCTCATACAAACGCATAGGCGCATAAATGGTGACCATAACGTTCAGGCTTTACATTTTTTTATTGGATGATCACACCACGTTTTGCCTATTCCACGCAGCTGTTGATCTTCATTCATATTTGTGCACACTATGAAGAGACCTGAAGACTATCTGATGTGTACTACAGTGAGTGGAAACCAATGGTTGCATAGAAGTTCAGTAAAACTGGTCTAAACATTAACTGTCCTTTAACAGCAAAGCACATCACCATCAGCTTACGTCCTATATGTGAAACAAAGTGTTTCATCCCTGAGAGCCCTGAAATGTCAGAAGCTTCCTCTCATAACGACACTGTATGACGTGACTGAAGCCTCCTGCCTTTCGCCTCATTTGCTTTATGGGACGTCTGCTGCAACAGGCTTAATCCCACAAAGGCAGCAGTAGGTTTTTAGCAGCCGCGTAGTGAGGAGTTAAAGCCTCAATCAGTACGAGTAGCAGTCCCCTGTAGTCACGCTCCGGCTGGCCTCTCCGCATGCCGCCTCCCTGAGGAGAGACGTGGTCTCATCCGAAGGTCGGACATGCACCACAGAGGACGGGTTTCATTTTTCCGGTCCCCGGTCTCTGGGTTCCATCTTGCCCTGAAGCACTGATGCCCGAGAGCTCGCACAACCTTTTGTTGTGTGGGTTGTCTTCCATCTTTTGTATCGGTTGCCGATACCGCCTGCAGCCAGAAGCTGAAATGTGCCATGCATGCATGAAATGTGTTGTACATGCAAATCGCACTGAGGGACTTAATGGCGGTCATTGGAGCACGTAATCCATGCTGGTGGAAACACCAAGAAGCACTTCAGTGTTTAACACTCAGGACTGTGTGCTTCAACATGTGGTATACACCAGATCAGTCTATATCTATATATACAGTATATGTATATATATATACATGCTTTACTGCTGGAAAGTGCATTTACTCAAGTACTGTACTTAATATTAAGTACGTAATAAGTAAGTAGAATATTTAGAAGTACTTGAAGTTTTCAAATTTGACTCGTTAATTCCACCGGTGTCAACATTGTGCTGTTATCCCCATTTCAAGATATGCTAGCAGGGAGTTGCACCTGTTGAAACACAAATAAGGTTCAGAAGCTGAAACTGAAGATATTTTGCATTGTAGATACTATATTATATTATATATTATGTCAGATCACAACAGAAGTTGTCCCTCCTTTCTCTTCCTTCTTTCTTATTATGAACCTGTAGGAGATTCAAACGTGTCATTATTACAACAGCGTAAATAATTGTAACATTTGATTGGAACAGTTGGATCAAATGTCAAAACAGGGAAGTGAAACCTAAGCTTTAGATAAGGCTTAGATTACTCAGACTGCGCAAACAAACAGTTGGCGTACTGTATGAGCTGAGGTCTGAATGGTGCATGGATACAGGATACATTATCTGCAGGGTGCCAAACAGTCAGTATAAACAAACAGCCAAGTTAGGCTGTTAGCACACGTGAGTAAAAAATAAACACAACAGCAGGGCTGGAAATCACACCTCAACACTTGTTTTTCAGACAGACCTAAATGTGTTCAGGGTATTAAAAGCTGTCCAGTGAAAGCAGGCGGAGTCAGTCTGGTCAGATTTGTGTCTTGTTATACTTATTCTTTGATCAGAAGTTCCAGATTTAAATTGAATTATTTTGCCAGTATTTTGTTTTGGTAAAGCTCTTGAACAGCTGTCCGTTTGTAGACATAATGTTACGTAATATTTTTGCTTTCTTTTGTAAAAATGAAAAAAAAAAACTACTTCATTCCTTTATGTTTGTCAAAGTTAAGTATTTTGGTATTGCCACTGAAACTCTGGTATTGTTTCAATGTTATTCTCTACAATTGTAAAGTGAACCAAAATACTTATTCTATTAGACATTGGGCTGCAAAAACTTTGTAGGAATTCATATGAGAAATAAAAAAAATTAAACAAAAATAAATACCACCATGTTTAGCACATTTGCATTATCTTTGAGGACAAACTACATTCTATATTTCAGTACACACATGCACACACAGTGTACACTGTAAAACACCAGGCGCACCGCACTCCAAACGGAGGAGGACATAAATAATTCATCACACACCCTCCCTCCGCGCTCCCCTTTATCTCTGACATTTTTTCCACATCCCATTCTCTTCCGAAAATGGGCCGCTCTGCCCCCAAGGGCTGAGCGGCACAGGGGGAGCGCGACAGGAAGGGTGACAGAAGACCACCACACACACACACACACACACACACACACACACACACACACATACACAAAGCAAGCGACACTCACTTTGGCTGACTGATAATGTGGTATGCCACAGATGCTTGGCGGTTGGAGGACTGAAGACCAGTGATGTCAGCGTCCATTCTTCATCCTGTCACTGTTGTCAGTTCATGACCTTCAGGAAATAAGGATCTCCCTCCCACTGCTGCAGCGTGTTACTGGTTACAAACTGACAGCTTTATATTTAGACCATGCTGGACACGTTTCCTTTTGTTGCCATGTTTTACGTTATCTGTTGATGATGCGTTACACGTCTGTGCACAGACAGCATTTGTTGCAGCGTTGTTTTCTTTCAGTTAGCTAAATGAGAACCGACTTTCAAAAAGCACCATCAGGTGAAAAGTCCTATTTAATGTCATCTTATTAGATTTATGGATGTTGTACTTCGACACCACAAGGCAGAAAATACAAACCAAGGAGAGAAAGTGGATCGAGGGTCGAAGGTCTCTTTTACTCAACTCAATCGCCCATTTAGGATTTCTATCATCGGTCTTCTGTGTTTATTATTCCTATTCTAAGAGAAGTGAGTTATCTACCACAACATTAAGAATTAGGACATTTTAGAAAACTTTCTTTTGTTGACATTCAAAGAACGGCACAGCACATGAGTTACATCGTCGTAGCTGTTGGTTTTTTCCCTCTCCGTGATATTTTGAGTTAAATTGAGTTAACAAAACAGCATAGTGTTGATACATATTATGTTTTAGCAAAAGTTTCTTAATAATTTGCATCATTACAAGAGTTGATATGATTTGTAATCTCTTATTTCTGAGACAGAACCTGTAAGTTACTGTCGGTCTTTCCATCCACCTGTTTTCATCTGCATTTTTAATTTGCATATTAAAAAAAACTGAGCGGAAACACAGAAAATTCAAAACATTTTTAAATATTGTAAAAAAGTTGTTACGCTTGGCTGAGGTGTAAAGGTTGTTAGAAATAGAAAAAGCTAATTGATAAAAGCACAATGTGACAAAGTGCGATGGGAGCAGATGTGATGTAACCGTCCTCACAGAAAAACAGGAAACTAACAGAAATGTCACATTTACATCCAGCTTTCTACTTTGAGCCATTTGAGGTCCGACTGTCACTCCTTTTAATGACGTCATCTTGTTGCGCCCTCCTCTTCTGCAGTGGTATATGGGTTACCTGACTGGAGAGTTGTCGACCACCTACTGCCTATCTTGATGATCCAGCTCCAGATAATCACATAACCACAATGGATGGAAACAAGCATTCGGATTTTCTAGAAATGAGGTTAAAATGTGCAATACATTTGGAGGGAAAACTGGCTAATACAGCCTTGTCTGGCCCGTTTTAGCAAGGCTCTCAACAGTTGAGTATATAAAGTGGCTGCACCTGCACAGCGCTGGTTTCGAGCACAACTGCTTCCTCAAGCAGTAAACATGATGCAAATGAACACACACACACACACGCACGCAGTCTGAGCACTTCCCCTCAGTAAACCAAGGCTAACGGGGGGAAAAGCCGAGTTGTGCCCATCCCTAATGAGGTGAGACATGTTGCTGTCTGGAAGAAATTAATTGGGCTGTCAGATCATCTAGAGAATTAATAAGCCGACTCTCTCAAGGTTTTTCTTATCGCGAACGAAACTTATGAAAAGATAAACTACAATGAGCTGATGCCATCGAGCCTGGTCTGTATATCCAGAGCCTGGTACATCTTAATCCTCTGTGCCACAGAGCTCCATTGTTGTCAATGAGCCCCACTGTCGCACTAGATGACATGTTCTTTCATCACCATGAACAGATACACCATCCTGCTGCTGTAAATGCTCACTACATCCCCGGTGTGTGTATTATTCCGCAGCTGAAAATAGTCCCCAACAAATTCACAATTTACCCCTGTTTGAGTAACATTCGTGAAAGCTACAGTGCCCAGCTGTTTGGGGAAATTATTTTACCTTCTTCCTCTTCTTCAATGGGAATCAATGGCCTCCTTGGTAGACAGGATTCTTTGACAATGAGAGAAATATAGAATTAAACCAGGCTTGTTCTTTGATCCCAGTGATGCTGACCTGCAGATGTTTCAACTGAGCAGAAGAATGCACTCGGTCTTAGGTCGATCGCTGCTTTCCCCCACGGAGCCACTCTGCTTGTAAATCATTGATTAGCTTTGCTGAGAAATGCTCCAACTTTGCCAGCTCCACGTGTTACCGCTTCCTCCGACACCGGCTGATTGGTTTCAGTTGCTAGTTTTGTTCGCTACAGAAGACTCGGCTCAGCTGTCTCTGAACAATGACGCTGCTTTGTCTCAGAAACTCCATCCCTCTGGGAAAGTAGGTGATCCTCACAGGACTTCTAATGTATACTCGGGGGTATGGGAAGTCGAAATATACACAATCACACAGACCCTGATCTATATTTTCAACCATTAATGTAATTTGCATTTAACTGAGAGACTTCCTCTTTTACAGGAACCCTGGGGGCAGGCGAGCACAGTTTCCCCTTCCAGTTTCTCATTCCAGGTGAGTGTGGGATTGACCCAGGTGACCCGTTCAACTTCATTCCTCCACGTCGGAGGCACGCCTTCAGGTCTCGTAATAGTTTTCCAGGTCCGCGATAACATCTGATAGCATGAGACTTTTCCTGTTGGTGTACTTACAAAGTGCTCAGCCCTAAGCCCTTTGTCTCCCACACAAAGCAGACGCACACAGATCTGCGATACCGATGCAGTGTGAAGGATCCTTACCTAGTTAATGTTTAAGAGATTTGGGGAGGAACGTGCCGATTGTGACGTGACTCAGCGTGATAAATAATCTGTATTCCACATGCCACTTCACATACACGGCTACGTAGATTTTTTTTTCCGAAGGCTGACGAGTAAAATAGATGACATCACAATCACGCACATGACACGGAGATCAGCCGAACATGCTTGGCATTTGTGAGGTTCACACACAGTGCAGTATCTGTCTGGTATCTTGCACTCTCTCAGGCGTGGGCTGAAGCACAGGGGGGGGATTGGGTTATTTTTAGTTCCCTCTCCTGTTGTGCAGTCACTGTTTAATTGGTCTTCATGCCCCTCCTCTCAGACCCTCTGACTTGAGAGCATCAGCACAGGGCATGTTAACTGTCATGTAGTGATGAGGGGAGACAAACCCACATTATGACATATTTAATAAGATATTGCATCATTTGCATATTTAAACATAGCTTTTTAGAGCGCTTGTAATCTGAAATAGAATGCCTTAATGGGAGTAATCAGGTGGGAAAGTTCCGTGGTGATACCTATTAGTTAAACATGTTCACCCTATTCATGTGGGTTGTCTCTCCAGAAGTGGCTCATTGGAGAGTCAAGTGTCTCGTATGCCCCCTGCTGGTACAGCACAGACTGATTTGGTCTGTAGTTAAAATAGACTTGCAGCAAATAAAGTCTTTAGGTAGAATGACCTGACTTTAACACTGGGTTCCAATAGGTGATGGTGATAATGAGTTTTATTTGTAATCCTCTTTAAGAAATGTTCATGTGTAGATATAAAAACATCTCAGCATCAAAACACATCATAAACGTGTTGATGTGCAACATTTCAATAAGAAATGAATGAATGAAGTGTGGTAGTTCATTAAATAAATGCAGTGTCATCTGGTAGAGGTTGCACTATCTTGGAAGGAAAAGACTACGTATTGTTGTACAAGTATGATAATAAAGTTGAATGGAATTGAAGAAACATTTAAAAACAAAATCCTCTAAAAATAAAAACTCTATAATCTGTATAATCAACTAAAGAGCAGTTCCTTCTCAAAGACAGAGACACAGAGACCTCGAAGCTTGTTTAAATGTGTGATGAAGCGTGACAGTTAATGGTTCAAAGTTATTTTCAAATGAAGTAAAAAGTTAATAATACACTTAAGCCCACCAACTCAGCTATGGCAGGTACAGCGGGTCGTTGATTAACACATCATTGACGTTTCACCTTCGAACTCTGTCAGAGTGTCCTCGAGCAAGAAACACTGGGACCCAGTTTGCTCTAGATGTGTGCTGGGATGGATGTGAGGGTGCTGTAAAGTGGGATAAAGGTGCTACATGAATGCAGGCAGTGCGAGAGGTATGAATCTTCACTGGCCTCATGATTCAACCTAATTACGATTCACCTGCTCAACGATTCTCGAGGAACAGTTATAAAACGAGCATTTATCTGCGTCGAGGCATCAGATTGTGTCCTGGTCTGATCAATTTTTTTCAGTGAGACGGGGGAAGGAGTAGGCCGAGATAAATTCAGTGCAGAGACACTTACGGGGATAAATAGGGTTGGATGAAACGGTGGATGACCTCATTCCAAAAGGACATGAGATACACGTTGAAGATGAGAAAAACAAACAATATGAAAAAGTGATACACTTTGATAGAGTGCTAGAACCTTTTATCCTTATCATGCAAGAATCCTTGTTTTCATACAAATTAACTGAATAAACTGTAATAACCAGTGAGCAGCTGATGATCATAGCAGAAGACGAGGACAGCCTTAACATGCCCAAACATTCCCTATCTCACTGTTGATTTCTGAAGTTAAACTGTCAACCGTGACACATTTCAAAACACCAACACTGAGCTAAGGCGTTGGCTGCTATACTCAAATCAGGGAGCACGCTGTGAGACAAAATATGTGTGAATGAAATACATGCTTTTGAAATCAAATCAAAAGAGTTCCCTCCAAACAGGATTCCTTCTCACGAGCAATGTATTTCCCTGTTTAGCAGATGAAACCTTCTCTTCTTGATCTGAACACTAAAGTAATTCTTGATTTGGTGATTTGCAGGTTAAAGGCCAAGCTTTAAACTGGGCTAAATTTGGATGAAGAAACATCTTTAGGTGTCTAGGTTACATATTACACCATTTTACTGACTACAGTTCAACTTGTAACAGGAGCGGATGCCATATTGAAATATAGTCACTGACATGCTGTTGAAATGATGTTAATATGTAACTCAGACATCCGAACAAGTGTCTTCAGCTGCGCTAGCTGCTCTGTGAAACCTTGTGCTTTGAGCTTAAAACCTCTCAGCACGCCAACATGCTGATTATGAAGCAGGTACTGTACAATGTTAACCATGTTCAGCGTCTAAGTTTAGTGTGTTAGCATGCTAGCATTTGCTAGTTAGCAGCTAGTTAGCTTTGCCTGTATTTAGTCAAACCAAGGTATTGGACAAATTGAAATTTGGACTCTGATGATGGCACTAATTGAAAAGTCAAGGGGTCACCAGAGAGATGACAGCTCATCCTTAGGGCAATAGTAATATCTGAACCAAATTCCATGGCAATCCATCTTAGAGTTTGACAACCCTCACGGTGGCACCAGAGGAAAATTCAATGGGATTCATCCACTGGGGACCATGAATAACTTTTACCACAACTGTGGCCCAGTTTCAACATAGGTGGCAATTTCTTTTCAAGATCTTTTGACCTGTAAATCAACAAGTGCTCACTTGGTTCCTTGGTTGTACAAGTTGTGATGTCTCGGGGGGCTGCCTATTGAAATGAAGTTAGCAAGTTCAACTGCAGCTCAAAGGAACAAGGCCGATTTCGCAATCCTTTTCAGCAGCTACGAGCAGCCTCAGTCTGGTGTGTCTCCAGGGAAAGTCGGCCTGGTGCTTCAGTCCGTCCACAGCTCTGTCCTGGCTCCCAAGCTGTCTGAAACAAAACACAACAACAACCCACATTCTCCTGCTTGATTCTTATTGACAGCAGCAGCAGCAGCAGACTTGTCCCTGGAGCAGCCGCCCGCCTCGCTGACATTAGCATCTGAATGAGGATCAGTGAGAAACGGAACGCTTCAAGATAGTGAGAGGGGCTCAGCTTTTGTTTTGACAACACATTAATCACATTTTTGTAGATGGTGTTTGGGAATTTACATGCAGATTGTTTGTACGGCTCACACTTCTAGAAGAGCTTTTTTTTTTTCTTCCTTTCCTCTGGCTCTGAACATCTCTCTCCTGCTGTCTGTCTGGCTGCTTTCTCCCCAGATAGTTTTTTTTTATCTGCCTCTCCTTAAATTGCCTTCCCTCCAGCCTTGTGCCTCCCTGTTTCCTGCTCGTCACTGCTCTTTCCTCGAGTCACAAGAACAATCGGTGTCCTTTTATCTACTCTGGACTAATGTGCAGGAATCAGTCTGAAAAGCTCCTTCCCTCTCGTGGCAGCTCTGATAGAGGCCTACATGGATAAGGACACTGTCCTCCCCCTACTGCTAACTCCATAAAAGAAAATCTATTTAAATTGTAGCCCGATTCATTTAGCTTTTTTCAGGAATATCCATTGAGATACCTATGCACTTAACCTTTGAACTGGAATTTCTTTTCCTTATAGTATAATTTGTCTCAATAAAAAAAAGAATAGTCTGTACGGTACCATACCTATGCACATGAAATTAACTGTAATGACATCTGTCTGTTAGTAGTGTCTAACAATTTAATTCTGAGCAGCATTTTGTATTCTTACGGGTTATCAAAGATGCAAAATACCTTTTTTCAAACCTTTTGATTGAAAAAATCAAACGTATGGGCTTTAGCGGTCCTTTCGCCCCAAAATATCAGTAACTGTTCTCAGTGTGAAAGTAACGTCTGCAATCCTCTCTTCAGTCGCTGTTCCGACTTCCTTTGAGGGACCCTTTGGGAAGATTATTTACCGCGTGAGGGCGGCTATCGACACGCCCCGCTTCTCTAAGGACTACAAAGCCCAGAGGCCCTTCTACCTGCTCAACCTGCTCAACCTAAATGAGGTGCCTGCCATTGAAGTAAGTGTTCGCAGCACAAGTTTCCCTACTTTTTGATAATCTCTCTGCTCATTGTATTGCTGAACAAACCTGAATGCTGCTCTTCTGTTCTTTCGAAATAGTTTAGAATCGAATGCAGAAACAGGAGGAGATCAGCGCTTGTCTCAGTCGAGGCTTATTTGATTTGATGGCAGAGCAGGATCTAATTCATTTTCTCCCCAACCTTCCCTGCATTACTCACTTACCATTCACTCTCTTCCCGACATGACTGTCGGAGTTTCCTGATACTCTGGAACTAAGCCGGGATAGATAATCAGCACAGCATCAGCTAATTTAGGCTTCTTTATCACCGCACTAACAAACGTTTATCCTGCGACTCCACAGCATCCGAGTTACGCTGTGACCACGAAGAAGTTCAGCTACCTCCTGGTGAAGACGGGGACCCTGATGCTGAAAGCTCGCAGTGACCTGAGGGGTTACATCCCCGGGCAGGTCATCAAGTTAGCCACTGAGATCCACAACAAGTCTGGGAAGGACACAGGGTGTGTGCTGGCCAGTCTCATACAGGTAGATCAGTGAATATTATCAGTAATAATTATGTTTGTTTTTTTACCACCATAACTTCTTGCTGCAGTGAGTCATCTTTGGAAATATTGTCTCGCAAATGCTTTCAGGTGTTAAGCGCAGAACAGGTGCACTGAGTCTGAGAAAACAGAAAATGGATGCAAGAAAAATGAGAAGCATAATCTGTGTCTCCCTTATTATGAGCACAGCCCCCCGGAATTATCCATTTTAAGGAATTTATTGTCATTCATAGAACTAAAACCTCCCTGTGGGAGCACATGAAATCTCTCTATAATAATAGAGGTTTTCTTGATCCGTTTTCGAAGGAGCCGCTTTTCCTTCCAATAAGCTAGAGGCGGGTGAATCGGTTTGAAGTCACCATCGCATCTTTTTGTGTCCGCGCACCAGAAAGTGACCTACAAGACCAAGCGGCCTGTGTTCGACCTGCGGACCATCGCAGAGGTGGAGGGAGCCGGAGTGAAAGCAGGAAAACATGCAGAGTGGAGAGAGCAGATCATCGTCCCTCCTCTTCCTCAGTCAGCACTGGCCCGCTGCAGCCTCATAGACATCGACTATTTCATTCAGGTCAGTGTGTGTGTGTGTGTGTGTGTGTGTGTGTGTGTGTTTAGAAGTGCATAATATTATTAAAAAAGACTTATCCTCTGAGCTTCCAAAGTTCATTCTCTTCCGAAGTGGAGCGTACTTAAAGGGCAACACTGTTTTTTAATGTTTGTTGTTTTTGTGTTCCTGCTGGCGCCTGCACACATTCAGAATATTTTAGATTTCAGAGCTTGTTGTTACTGTAAACACGGCAGCTAGATATACTGTACATTTTCACCTATTCTGGTGTATTTTATTGCAGCCGGATGAATAATAGCATCGTACACTGTATTATAGGGGTATCATAGTAATTATTCTCTTGGATCAGTTGTAAATGTGTACCCAAATTTAACTAATATATGCCCAGATTTTTGAAAATATGAACAAAATACAATGAGCCTTAACTATATTACAGTATAAAGTTCAAATCGAATTGAGGCCTGTTCTCCCATCACAAATGCTGTTTGTGTTTCAGGTGTCACTAAAATCTCCAGACGCCGTCGTCACTCTGCCCATCTACATTGGGAACATCGCTGTGAACTTGTCTCCGTCGAGGCCCGTGCTCTCCTGTCCAGACCGCTGCGGCGCAGCCGTCGCACCCAGTGCGGCGGGCGTGACGCCCAGTGCTCCGCCGGCGGAGGAGGAGGAGCCAGAGGAGGGGCTGTGTGCAGGCGGCGTGGCCAGTGAGGAGATTCCCACCAAGAGTCACTCTCAGCAGGATCCCTCAGGTCAGCCGGTCACCATGTCCCCCAGCGCCTTCAGCCACGCACCGGGTGCGGCCCTTGCTCCTGGCCACAGACAGCCCAACGCGTCCGCTCCCCTGTTCTGTGTGTCCACCGGGGCCACCATACCTTTCTTCACCGAGGGAAACGTGACTCCCATCCCCACTTCCTGTTCTCTCATCCTCCCTCCAGAGTACAGCAGCTGGGACTACCCTCATGGTTAGTTCTTCGACACCGGCACACTGACAAACACATATGCACACAGGGACACATAAGATAGCAGTTTGATTTAATGGCCAATTAAATAGTCATGTCACCCCTATCACAGTCAGTGCTTTGAAATGTCTTTATTATGTTTTCACCTCAGTGAATTCAAGTGATGAATTGTCTGAAGTTCGATCTCTAAAACCGGATAAACCCTGGCTGGTGTTGAGCCAAGAGTCGCCTCTTGCAGTAGTGTTGTCATATGTCCTTTTTATAGGTAAACCTTAATGAGACAAACACAAGAACTCTCACAATCACGTGGCCCACATGTCGCATATAAGCAATCACACACCAAAGTTTTATCGCTCAGCCACAAATCCTGCCAAATTCTGTAAGGCAGCTTTCCACTCATGCAGAGGTCCTGACTATTCCAAAACGTTGCCGTTTGAACAGCTCTCACAAGGTTTAACAAGCCCACAACATTAGTTTTTGTCTGAAACTGAAACTACTGTTCTGTTGAGCGACAAAGCTAACCCTTTAAAACTTAGGGCACCAGCTGTGTATTCGTAATGCTGGAAACACCTTGGTACGGTAAGTGCTCTTGAATGCACCCTCGGGCCAGTTAGTGAAGACAGACACTTTTACATTTCACATGAAAACAAGTGAGGGATGACCTAACACTGCAGGTGCTTCTGAGTTCATTTAATGTGGTTGCTGAAGCATTCACAGTTGAAGCTCAATAGTCCTATAGCATGTAATCTATTAATTCTATAATAACCACAGAGTAATGCCATGATTATTACAGAAACCCATGTTCACTCTTTCATGTCAAAGCTGAAATGTGTCAAAAGCACATTCATAATCACATTTCAGATAGACTGATGAACCCTACATGACAAATCCACTGACTTACAGTGATACTTTAGTAGTTACTACAGAGCAGAGGCAGGACTTCAGCTCTATCACCGACTTTATTTTTCTTCTGCCTTTGTGTGTTACAGAGCCCCCACCCACTTACGAGGAAAGCTGCAGTAGCGCCGACTCCAGTTTCAACAGTAGACAGTAGAGAAGAAGCCGGTGATGAAGCATCATCACCCACTCTCGTCCGCATTCGACACTCTCGACTAATCGAGACAGAGACACCGCGGGTTACAGAGGATGGACGATAACTCCACCCCCAAGAACACCCCAAAGATTGTTTCCTTGTCCTCGAATAAGTAAAAAAAGAAAAAGGGATCATATCTTATATTGAGTATAAGTTTAATTTCTCGTGTCTCATCAGGTAGAGTCAGACCGAATGGGTGAACATCACTGTGCCTAAAAGAAGTATTTTGGATCACCACACAGCATTTCCAATATTCAGTGATTGGACATGGAGTTCAATCTGTTTTGTTTTTCCAATCCATTTTTGCATCTGTGATGCCTTGAAAATTATTTCGGCCGACTGTGCCCTTGTTATTGTGGTCCACCGCTGTCCTCGGCAGCAGCAGCAGGGCAGAGATGTCTAAAGGAGAACTCATTACCAGAGGTTGTGGTTTGTCTAGTTTAACTAGTTAAAACACCAGTGTGTAGGATAATCTGTGATTATAGCATCTTCATAATAATACCACTAGAAGAGTCCAGTCAGAATCCTACACATATTGGCTTTAAAGACAAATACAGTCCCAGCAGCACCTCTCAGTTGTGTAACCTGAAACAGAGGGAGCAGTAAAATCATCAAAAATAACTTACTGTAGTGAGAATTTGTATATTTTCTAGCATTACTTTTATCGACATGACAAACAGGAATATTTATATAATAAAAAATGTTTTACTTAAATTTGACTCTAGACAAGATATTTTATGTTGAGAGAAATGAAACACATAGAGTGTGCTCTGATCTCTTTTTGGAAAGATTGATTATCTTAGATTAATATATATATATATATATATATATATATATATATATATATATATATATATATATTTGAACTGCCACCATGTGCTGTTGCCTCATACAACTGAGAGGTTTGACACCAGTTTTGTATTCAGAGGATAGTTTCTCTGCAGATGAGGCTCATTTCTCCTGCAGCTGGATGTGTCTACTGCAGTGAAGACTCGGTCTATGTCTGCCCTCTTGTGGCCGTCACTGGTACAAATTTATCTCAAACTCCTCTTGAAAGTGGAGCTTAACATGATCAGCCATGCAAATACTTCACTGAGTCCCTGCTTCTGTGATGCACCAAGTGAGGCCTGCTGTTTGAATTGTTTGTTGAGCAGAACGGACAAATTGAGGTTTTGAGATGCGTGTTGTGTTGAGATGTGATGCAGGTGTTTAGCGTCACTGTGTCAGTCTGAATGAGATTATACCTTGTGGTTTTTTTCCTCTCTGTTGCCTTAACGTTCTTTTAGTGTTACGTCCGTGAGATGAGAACGCTCTGAAACTTCAGCTGGTGCAGACGATAAACATACATGTGCACAACACAACACTTTTTAGTATTTGCACGGGTTTCTGACTCTACGTCTTGTGTGTGTGTGCGTGTGTGTGTGCGTGTGTGTGTGCGTGTGTGTGCGTGTGTGCGTGTGTGTGTGTGAGAAACAACTTGTTTGGACAAGTTCACCTGAGGTCTGTTTTCCCTCAAATTCAACTATTTCAAATTGATTTGTGCTTCAGCGCCTGTGTTAAATTACCTGTTAGAGACATTTTCTTTGCCTGTGTACAAGGTCTGGGTGATAATTCCACACTTTTATCTTTCAGTCTGACCTTTTGATCTGATCTCATCATGTTATCACTCCCCAAATGCCTCCTGTCCAAATTAGCTCATCTTAACTCGTCAGCCTTTATTATAAACTAACCAAGAGTTTGATCTCATGTCATTCATAAGAGTGGAACAGAGTTTCTGTGGATTCTGTTATTTTACCACATTTTAGCACAATCTCAAAGTCTATCCTGTGAATTCAGAAGACAAAAACATGTCGACTCCTCACCGTAGATCACGTTGCCAAGTGTTGTTCCAGAATTTGTATTTTATTTTGTGAGACACGTCCGCTCCGAGATTTTCCACAAACTGCTGTTACTGTTGGAAACCTGACAGTCCCCCAAACTACGTTGTGTCCTGGCTCTACATCATTGTGAATGCATGCCTTAAACAATCTGGATTCCCACCACCTTGTGATGGACTTCTCTTCTTCTCCGTCAGGGATGCGCAGCGCTTCCTTGGTTCTGTCTCCTGTGGACTGTGCTTAGTGCACCTGATGTATACAAATGTAGCTTTTAAAAGCAGCGAGGACACTGGACCTTAAACCTGTTTTTATTCTTGTTTTAGAAAATGTGTGCAATTCCTTTCATCTCTTAAGAATGCTGCAGCACCAACTCCCTGAAGTCATTTCACGCTGCCTTTAGCAATCCTGCTTCTGTTTAATTCCTCTCCACCAAAAGGTACGATAGCTTTATGAAGCTCCAACTGTTCTGTGTTTCATTCTTTTCCCCTCACATATTGATGAGTGGTGTCTGGTTTTGTATTTTTCTACTTGTTAAACTGTTTACAGGTGCGTATGCAGACACTCATAGTAGCACCTCAATCAGTAAATGTAATATTTCAGCATACAGTGAAGAATCAGTTGTACTGTACAGTATAACAATAAAGATATACAACGTGTTTTTGTTTATGTCAGCAGAGTCGGCTTTGTTCTGACATAGGAACATGCTTCCAAAACTAATTTTATTTTTATTTTAAGAAACAGTGAGCATACCTTTCAACAACAAGGCAGTTAAAAGTGCATTACATAGAGCAAACATTTATATTTGTTTAGACTTAAAAAACAACAACATAAGGACACCGCTGATCTCCAGCTACATCTCAGTGTGATCATGTGTGGAACTGCAGGAATCCTGGTGAAAGGTTCCCAGTTGTTATAAAAGCGGCACACAGAAAAGCAGTAGAAGCTGTTGCAATGGTGGCTAAAATCAAAAGGACTCCGGGGTAAAGATGTTTGCAGAGGATGAGATGTACGATAGTAACATCACAATAAATATAATTTGTCGTCATCGCTCTCAAGTAACAATCAGCCTCCTTCCAGAAACACGGTGTACGGTGCAAGTTTTACGACGAGTAGCCGAAAAGCAACGAATGCTTTCGGCTTCCTCCGTCCATCACGTGATCCAAGTAATTGTGTGGAGTAAACAACGGAAGATTCGATGTGCGCATGCGCATGCGTAGTATTTCGAGCATCTCTATCGACTAAATGTACAATGTTAGCCAAACGTTGGTTATAATGCAAATGTATGGGCAGTTGTACCCGCCCTGCTCGATGTGGACGATACTATTTGAGTTTCCGAGCGACTTTAATCACCGTTTCGACTGTGTAGTTGGTGCCTCGTCCCAAGTTGCTTAAAAACTCAACTACCCGTCAGCCCTCGGGGTTTTTGTCCGGAGTCAGGAGGCAGCCTTGTTCCGCTGCACTGACCGAGGAGCTCTGCTACTGTGGGACATTTGACACATGGCTCGTACTTGAGTGCACTCGAGCAGCAACTCTACCCGGGGCCGTGGGTCGTCAGCGGTGGGAAGCCTGTAGTGAATAACCGCTGAAACTGCGGCGCTCACCAAGTTCACCATGATGTCCGTAAGTGGGGTCTTTGTAGTTTGTCACATTTTGAATTGGAGATATTTCTCTACATGATAAAGTGTGTCGTTGAGTCAGTCAGTGTGTGGGGACATGTGATGTGGACTCTAGGGAGCAGCGCATAGTAGACCTAGAGGATCATATTGAATATGTCTAAGTTGTTGTCCCACATGGAGAGTTTGTGAGGAGTTTAACGCTTTACGGTTAAGTTATCTGTCACTGCTCGAAAATATCTATGACGCCTTCAGGCTAAGGCTGGGCAGTCTGTCCGAAAACACTCTGGTATCACACACAACAACAACCTCAATAACACATCGTGTTGTTTCTACTACTACTACTATTTGCTTTGACTCTTTCAGCTGGATAGCAAATATCGTGAAACTATAACTTGGCATGATCACATCATCAAGTTATTTACCAGCAGTCATCTCAGCTCTACTGAGTTATGGTTGAAATGACAATTGCATTGAACCTTTTCTATGTCAAGCAAACTTAAAAACTCGCTTTGCAAGTTGGATCACATTTGCTAGTAGTGACATGAACAGCTGCATGTGGCACACTGGAAAAACAAGTCATAGTGTGGGCTTTGGAAAACGCTGGACATGAATGTAAAGTAAATGTGGGCCACAGCGTGCAAAACGTATCCGTGCTGTCATTGGAAAAAGTGCACTGAGAGTGTTTTGCAGTAGAAACATTGTCTTCTCTGTTGGCAATCTCAACATTGACGTGGTTTAATGAACAAATAGTCTATCTGGTTCTCTCAAGCGGTTTGGAAGATAAGTTCACAATGGTCACTGTGCCTGGCCTATAAAGTCAGATTGGTGACTCAAGTTGTCTATATTTTACTTTCTCTCTAATGTTTCTTGCTGCCTCAAACACTTGAGGCAGCTGGTGAGAGACGGTCATGCTCGGACCGATGGTGAATTAGCAGGGGAGAGGAGGAAAGAGCCCGGCAGGGGCCGTGCATGCAGACTCGCTTTTAGACGCACTCACAGAGTGCATTCCTGCTGTCAGTCACAGGTCCACCGGAGCAGAGCAGAACAGAGCAGGCTTCTGTTAGACAGTACATCCTGTAATTGTTGGGCAAGACCTGCTGAATTTGTTCAGAACAGTTTAAATTACATTTCCTTCTCTCATTCGTAAAAGGAATCCCAAAAATGACATGTAGAACACAGAGAGAGAGAGAGAGAGAGAGAGAGAGAGAGAGAGAGAGAGAGAGAGAGAGAGCTGATCTCAGAGCAGTGCAGTAGCTCTCAGTCTCACATGAGTGGTCTTGGTGGGAAAGAGGCTGAGGTCAGCAGCTTTGTAACGCCCGGTCCCTGCGTTAATTATGTTTCTCAGAATTGGACCGTTTCTTTTTTTAAACGTAATCATAACCAGTGAAGCGCACACAGCCTTGTAGAGTCTTTAATATGTTTCTCATATCTTCCTTCAGATGACCTTTGGGGTGTCGAGCAGCGTGATGCTGCTGTTTGACTTCTGGGATGTGCACGGGCCTGTAGGTAAGATGCAACAGACATCAGGAGACGTTTATATTTTGTTTGTATATGCGTGTATTTTGAACAGGAATGTCTGGAAACCTATAGTTCAAAACAGTAAGCCTGAAAAGTCTGTAATGATTTTCTCTGAGGAGGGCAGCAGCAGTCACCAGCTACAGTGGATTCAAACGTTGACCTGGTTTCATTGTCAAATATTAACCAGAACATTGATAGAGACTTCAAACCACTGCTGCAGTATGAGATATATATATATATATATTTCTTGTTGTGTGTTCAGTATTAGAACCCGACCAATGGTGGGATTTTGAAATAGACAATATAAATACTTGTTAAAAAAGTAAATAATCAAAAATGTTTATTCTAAGCATCTCTCACATGTAGTTATCAAAGGTGCAGTTTATTACTGAGCTGTACCTCAGTTTGACTCTTTTTCTTCATATTATTTCCGTGTTTGATCTAGATAATGTTTTTAGAAGGCTGTGTTGACCCAGTTCCTGCACATGCGTTCAAGCTTTGTTCTGTCATTTTTTCCTCTAACTTTATACAATATGTATAACGTATGTGAAGTAGTTTCTGATATATGTGATGATGAATATGATACGTTTATGAATAACATATGTTTGATGTTAGAATTATGGCTTTTCTGTGACTGTTGTTTCTGTGCTTTATCTATGTTCTTCATTTAATTGTTAATTGTTCTGCGATGGTCTTATCACCCATTTTTTTTTTTTTTTTGGATGAACCACGCCTGCCAGCATAGAGCTTATTTGCATATTATTGTTTCATGCATTGTTTGCAAGATGTATTAAAGAAGGTGTGGCACTGGTTCACACTTTTCAAACAGTTTTGACCTGACCAAGACCCGAGTAGGAATCGAAACAGTCGTTACTACATTTTTTTGTGGCACGGAGTAGTGTGCTGACTTTACCCGTTTCCTTATCAACATGTACATCTGCCGTCTTCAGGGAAGGAGCCACCAATCTAGTCTGAGCGAGATGAGAGTGGAGTACTCCTTAAGTTGTAAAAATGCCCCAGAGCAAAAGCAACATCCTGGTATTAAGGGTCCAGGAAGTCATTGCAGGCAATCAAGACATTTATTATTATAGTTTACAGATACGATGAAGTGGTATCAATCTTCTTACTCAACCTGTCCAGGAAGCAAATTTACAAAATGTTGAGTTATTCCTTTAAAGTCTAAATTGTGTGTCTTTGTCTCCAGGGATGCTGCTGTCGGTGTTCGTGGTCTTTCTGCTGACGGTCTTCTTCGAGTTGCTCAAGGTGTGGAAGGTGTGGTTGGGGAGTAGCTCTAAGCTGGCTCAGCCCCAGCGTCTGTACGCGGCCCCTCAATCCTTAAGCAGCGACAGCATCCCGGCGCTGGAGAGCAGCGCCTCTGAGTCCGCGCTGACCCCTATGGAGCCGCCCCCTCCCGCTCCGAACACCACAAACCGGTCAGGTCCAAGTAAACATACAAAATCGAACTCCTCTCTCTCTTTATTTCTTTAATGGTGGTCGTGGGCCTCCGTAGACAGTCAACCTGAAATTGTATAAAATGCAAAAAGCAGTTCTAATTGTTCTGCTTCCTCGAGTCTGATCCAGTTTGTTTTCTGTGAAATCAAACATGTGGAGTTCAGTGAGTGTTTAAGGGTACGTCGTTTGGCTGCAACATTGCAGTAATTCCTGAGCTTCATCATTCCCCTGCTTCCTGTCGTAGCTGTGTGTGTGGTCTGCTTTGTGAGTTTGTGTTTATCTGTGCACCTCCACACACACAATGAGCTCCTTATGTCTCACACACGACATGGTCGTGAAACTGAACATTGACCTCCTTCTCTGTTCAATGGTTCAAGTGTCGCATCGTCTGTTACAATGATTGAACCCAAAAACAACATGTAGCCTAAATCACTGACTACCATCTTGACAGACTGCTTTCTTACTATTATACCGAAGTATTTAAGGCAGTGATCCTCTCATACAGCTCTACTTGGTGTAACTCATGTGTTCCTCTCTTCCCTCTGCAGCTGGCTGCTGCATGGTATCCAGGCAGTCCTCCACATGCTGCAGGTGTCTCTGGGCTACATGCTGATGCTGTGCGTCATGTCCTACAACACCTGGATCTTCATCGGTGTCATCATGGGCTCTCTCCTCGGTTATTTCATCTCATTCCCTCTCCTGGGTCAAATCTGATGGTATGGACGGTTCAGAGGATGTTTATTTTCCACTTCTTCCCCCCTGAGTTACATGCTCTGGATACTAAATGGGGAAACTACTTGATTGAGGGGGGAGGGGGGGGGGGCATGAAAGGGGAGTTCCTTGTATGCTAACGAATAAGTTGCACAATACTAACGCACACCACTGTCGCATAGAACTCATCGAGATCTGCAAACAGAAATGCTGGTGCACAGAATCATTCTGATTGTCAGTCTTCTGTCTCTCTTTGGTTTGTGACCGTAGGACACTTGTTAAAGGGACTCTATATGATATTCAGAGCATTAATATAGCGAAAAAACAACTACTTGCTATGTGAATATAGTGAATTGAGCAGAGAAGGAAGTTCCTCTCCCACTGTCTGCGTTGTAATCCAATATTCTCTGGGCTGTGTTTGCACAGCCAGTCCGGCCTTGCGTGTATTTTAGTGCACGTGAGCGCCCCCCACTGGCTAGCTCATGGCCGCCGTTCTGCACTGCACTCGTGCTGCGGTTTATTCATCCTAAAATGCATTGGAGTCGTCCACAGAGGTACAACCCACATCAGTGATGGGGGTCATACATAGCTCGTGGCATATTACTGTTTTTTTGTTTTCTTGGTCAACCTTGACAGACTTTTTAAACTACTACAGTTGTTTTACTAACTGGCTAACTAACAATTAAAGGTGTTATGTCACTACGGATGATTTTTATTTTTTTAAATGAGACTTTCATGAAGATTTTTCTGCCTTTTGCAGTGTGTGAAACTTTAAAGCAGACTCTCTGTTGGAGCTGAGATTTACAGTCAGATATCATAAGACAGGGCTCAGATGAAGGAAGTGAATCATGTGCTAACTTCTCTAATGTGTCATCTTGGTTCATTGACAGTCATTCTCAAACGTATGTCATATACGATCATGTGGTTCTGTGGCAATCATTGACAAACCATGAGCCTGAGAAGAAAAGGAACCTTGAGGCTTACATCTCGGGTGTTTTCTGTTCAGCTATGAAGGTGACAATGTTCCTCCATTGGAAGTACTGGGTCTTAGGTATGAATCTAAATGCAGCAAAATCAAAATGAGCCTTGGATACAGCGTCAATAGGCAGTGTCACAACAGGACACTTGCCTTTATAACATTGAGAGAAAGAGGAATCGCAACTCTTCTCAGCAATGAACATCAGATTGCAGCTTGCTCTTTTCACTACAGATGGTAGTAAAGTAAAAGTGACGCTGACACTAAAAGATGTAGGAACACTTGTACAGCTTCAAAGTTTCCTTTCATTTTCTGGAAATAAACTGATATGTAACTACAAATTCAATAAAAAGACACCTGGAAAGGACAATGTCATTTGATACTTTGGTTCTAATAAAAAATGAAGATGTAAAGAAGATGTTTGTACTTTTATTTATTCACACACTTTAATTCCACTTCTGGTCTCCCGTACTTTCAGTATTTCTTTTCTATTTGTCCTGGAATAGTTTTCTCCTTTCATTTCCAGTATTTTTATTTTTTTTTTATTACTGGAGATGTAGATGCAAATACAGTATCCAACAGCAACACGTATCTCCATGTTTCATATTATCAAAATAACACAACAGACGCTGTCCACCCGAGGAGCATCGTAAAATAAAAACATGTCTCATCCTGTTATTCTAGTTTTGTGGAGTTTTACCATTTCTGAACCTTAAGTTGTGTCATGTCACCATTTACAGTCACCCAACACTATTTCCTTAACGTGAACAATGTCCTCCACAAGATAAGTATCGCTGATACAGTCTCTTATTTTTTCATTTCAGAACACAAATAAGGACATAAGTCTTGTAAAAGCCACGTCATCCAAACATTAATATTTCAAAAAAAATGACCCAGATTTAAGGTTTGAATTAAATTAGAAAACATCGGCTTCAAATCGAAAATTGTCACTTTTGTGTTTGATTTAACGTACTTTACCATGAAGTTAAAAACAAACTCCTACAAGTTAAAGACGCATTATTTACTGTATCCTGGTCATCTGCACCCACAACCAAAGTGACGAGAACCGATGAATTTTGGTTGTTTCTTTGTCAAAAAGATTAAAAAAAACATCCAACTTATGATATCACAGTGGAAGTGCAAATCATTCCCGACAGATTGTACAAAATATCTGGTGTTGAAATATAAAGGCCATTTGCGAATACAGGAAACGCTTTCAAAGAACAGACTAGGTAGGAAAATTACATTTTAGCTGTAAAACAAATCCCCTTCCAACATCTAAAGGCTGATTGTAGCACCCCCTGCTGCCCAGGTAGAGGCGGAGATTATTCATTTGATACGTCAAGCAAAAAAAAAATGTGGGCCTGATTTACAGATGTAACTGATGTAACCAAACCTTTAGCACAACTTGAAAACATTAATAACTTAGATGTAGTTGTTTAGAGTTTACTAAAAAATGGATTTCCACTTTAACAATCCCTGATCCTTGTGATGGACCCTCCACCTCTTAACATAGCGTAAAGGAGCAGATATGAAAGCCGTGTCAAACACAAAATATGGCGAAACTTTGCAACGAAATCCACTAAGCTGCATAGAAAGGAACCAATCACCAAATAAAAAATAAGTCGAGGGGAGGCTGGGAGTGTGCAATATCAACGACGATACGCTTTGACTTAAACCTTTAAATACAGTCCTTTACTTCTCTCCCTTTACATGTGATGCACACTATTTTATTTGTCCGAGCCTTCCAATTTTAGAGTTATGTTCGGAGAATTGTCTTCCTACGGCAAAACCACTTCCACTTCTACCAGGTCGATTACTTTGTCCTCTCCGTCCAGGCCGTTTGTGATTGGCTGAGGCTCAGCTTCATCCGGCCCCACATCTGTCGGTGACTGGAAGCCACTGTCGTTGTGCGAGCTGGAGTCTGAAGCCAGTGGTGGCGCTGGCGACGACTCGTGATCTGATTCTGCCTCGGAGACCTCAGCAATCCTTTCGCTGTCCTCTTCCTGCACCGCTATCTCTATTTCCTCGATGGCGTTCTTGATGGCTGCTTGGTCCTGATGCTCCTCATCAGGTTCCTGCTTCTTGCTTCTGATCAGCTGCTGGACCATTGTCTGCGTGGACGACTTGTCTCGCAGAGATTTCCTGGGGACGTGGTCCACCATGGTGGTGACATGTGTCACATCCTCCTGCACCCCGTCCTCACAGATGACGGTGCCTGTGGTCGGCTCTGTCCCATTGGCCATGTTGCTCTGGCTCTCCTCTGACACGGGAGGCGCCAACTTCACCACTGGATTAATCAGGTCTCTGATTTCAGTCACGCTGTCAGGAGACTTGGGTCCCTCAAGCGGGCCTAGGTCCTCCTCATCCTCTCCCCGGTCCTCCTCTACGCCGTCAGACTCCTCGGTATCCTCCTCGGGGATAAGATCCACACCTGGGACCTCCAGGCAGGACTCGAAGGGCAGAGGGACCCCGTCGAGCTGGATCATGGACACCACCTGCCTGCGTCGGCTCCCAGAACCCCCTCCTTCAGATACGCCGCCACCAACGGAGACCTCAGGCTCATCGCCCCCAAATTTAGTAGCCCAGTCCACCTGAGGGGTTTCTCCGAGCAGGTGCAGGTTGGGGTCGCTGTTGGTCAGAATGATGCTGTCCCTGTAAAGATTGTGTCTCCTCTGGACAGCTGCCTCCTTCACAGCTGGACAACAAAAGCAAACAAGAAAATCAGTCACTGTGTTCAGTAGGTGAGTGTTGGGAAAAATCGAATGACTAATTATTATGCGTTTAATGATTAAGGAACGTTGTACGTTTACAAAAGCTTATGTCCTCAAATGGTGGTTGTGTGAACCTTCTGTGACACTCGGCGTCTCAGCAGCTGTTTAGTCTATTAAGAAGCAGTTGACGGCCGAAAGAACACTTCAAGCTGTTTACCCTAAATAAGAGATAATGAACCTGTAGAGATGTCAATACTTACGCAGAACTGATTTGCAACCATGACTTCATGATTTCGACAAAGTGACCCTGAGACTGGAACAAGTGATGTTCCAGGCCTTGTGATAATTACGCTGTGTGAACGCAAAATGTGTGTGTGTTATCCTTTGTGACGAAGACCTTATCGTAAACAACCCTGTGCCAATGCTGCGTGTGTTTTCAAGTATATATGTCAGAAGCTCAGAGTCAGAACTCCGAGCAGCCTTGATGCATCAACTTGTTTGTGTTTCAACTCTGTTCCTTCTTGCAAGAGTAAATGTCCTGTGATTAATGATTTTTACAACGGCTCGAGTGAATTTTTCTAACAGTGAGATAACTTGATGGAATAACATTCAGAACTATCACTACTGTTGCCATATTATTTCTAAATAGTGTGTGTCCCTCACCCATCATTATGTCCTTGGAGACACACTGCAGCACCACCTCCTCAAACATGTTTTCAACCAGCAGGAAACGGGCGAGGTCTTCGAAGATCAGCTCTTTGAAGCGAGGCAGCTCCTGGTGGGAGGAAGGGGGCAAGGATGAGCTTCCAGCAGTCAATGCATTGCTCAAATATGACCGATTGCATTTCTGATCTTTTCAGTAGGCATGCAACCCTGTATTACTTCTATGTGTATATGCATATGTTGCATCCAAACTTTGTTTTGTGAGTTTAAAGTTAAAAGAAGTCAAAAGCAGAGTTCTTTATATTGACTTTGCAGTTGGATTGATTGCATTGGAGAGTGTTATGTCAATTTATGGCAGAAAACAAAAAGTCTTGGGACTGCAATTTAGAAAAAAAAGAGAGGTTTTAAAGAAGTGCTCAGCTGTTTTTATTTGTTATGGGAATTTCTAATTATGACTTTAGTTTCTGGACCTAAATACACATCAAAACGGTGGGGCTGAAACTCAGAGCACAGTGGGAGCACCAGGTGGAAAGAGTCACAATACCGTCAGGACATATTGTATACTGTAAAGCATGCAATTTGAAGAGGGTCAAAGCGTTAAAAAAAAAAGGAGGATTTGAGGCTAGTTTGCATGATACTCACAGGTGAGCAGGATGGCGAGAGCTGCTTCAGCATGTATGGGATGATGATCTGCAGCAGAGCCTCTCTGAAGAACTTCTTGCGCACGGTGCTGCTGTCATGATCGTATTTCTGACCGGGAAAGACAAGAAAAATGAGTCGGTAACATAATAGCCTTTCTAATCATTGCACTTATCATATTCACATCTTCGTTCAGAGTCCCTCTGGAGATTATTGGAATAGACAACATATCCATATACTTTCTGACTAAATAAGGCTTAGGAAATTAGAAAAATACGTTCATCTACTATACCACTTCTCTGTTTTTCATTTTCCTGCTTTACCTTGAGAACCCTGTCCTGGCATCGCTGCATGGTCTTGCACATGTCTTCTTCTCCCTGGGTCTCCATAGACTGGTTGAGCAGCTGCTCAAATGTGTAAACTGCATTGTCCATTTGCTGTCCAAAAAAAAAAAGAAGTTTTAAGTTAGACAGTAGAATAAGAAACCGATTGATGCTGGTAGTGGCAGTAAACCACAGCTCACTGTTGATCTTCACAAATTGTTGTACTCTTTTTGTCCAGCAGGTGTAAGTAGAGACTTCACCACAAGCAGGACAGGCTGCATCTTGTCTTCCAAGGAATTAGGGAGTGCTTTCAGGCCTCCACACGCTGCTTCGAGGTATTCTGATTCAATGTGTCATATCAGAGAAAACTGCTGCCGTAGCGTCTTACCTCCCTCATGAGGATCTGAGTCCTGCTGACGAACACCGAGGGGTTGGCGACGTCGAACCTCTGCTGCAGCCCCTCCAGATTGAGCTGCTCCACCTTCTCATAGGAGCTCTGCATCTTCACCGGGTGGAAGGCGAGCATGGACAGCCTCTCCATTTGCTGAGGGGGGGGCGGGGGGGGGGGGGAGATAAGGAGGTGAGAATTTTATGAGCGGAACCGAGAAAGAGGTTGAGTTGACTGTTCAAGTCCTTCGAGGGCGGCTGAGGAGACTCCATGACTACTATGGTTAATGTGAATGAGGGTCATAGTGACAAACCCACAGAGAAGTATTGCAGCTTTAAGGTCCTCAGCTAAACAAACCAAAGAACAGTGACAACACCCTCCTTCCACATTACCGTGGTTATCAAACAACTCCTGTAGACTTGTGAAGCCAGGTACTATGCACTGTGTTAACACTTCCTTACAAAAATTCATGCACAGAAACAAAAAAGGGAACAAAATATTTTCAGTCAGCTGAACTCACGTCTCCCAGTACGACTTTCCCCCCTCCGTTGAGCGAGTTCTTGCTGACCTCCACCAGCTCCCCGAAGAAAACCTCCCTGACCTCGGAGAAACCCCGGCTGGTGGGCTCCATCAGGGCCTCCAGGATGGAGCTGATGTAGGGCTGGACGTTCGTCTGTAGGAGCTGCTCCGCCTTGGGCAACACCAGAGCTGCATGCCAGCAGCGACCCACAGAGGACGGAAGAAAAGATCACGTTCATGGTTAGTTGCTGCAGCTTGTAAACACACTACGGCCAGGAACTCTGCAAATTAGTCATCCCAATATACAGCGTGTTTGTTTGTTGCCGGGTTGAAATGGTTGGTATGCATGATGTTCAATGGAAGCCCTGCACATTTCACCTGATTCTCAGATGGGCCTACACCCAACTGTTGGAAACGTAACCTGCGTTGAAAGGAGCCAACCAAATGAAACTCACGGCTTGGATTACCACTCTCAAACCTCTGTGTTCCCATCGTGTAATGTGAACCAGCACGACTTTGCTAAGCTGACTCATAGTTTTGAGTCATATTCGTGGGATAAAGTCAGAAAAGTGATGGAATGCAGTTCTGCCACTTCAGCTCAATAGCAAACAGTACACATGAAAGATGTGAGCAGCCTGTGCCAACACATTTAAATAGAGAGCCGACAGGCTCTCCGCTCAAAGGGTGGGTGCTCCGGTGCTGAGTGAATGAGGGAGGAAAATACTTAAGTACAAAGCTTGAGCTGAGAGGAGAAAGTACAGAGAGAGCAACAGCAGGGAAATGTCAGATATGGAGGCAGGTTACAGAGAAAAGGCCCTGTTTGTGCCAAATGTCGGAAACTTGAGCAGTGTGGCGTTATTCACTGACCAATAATGGCTGAGGCAAGAATCCCCGAACAGAGAAAAAAAGTAAACGGTGAAAGTGAACAATGAAACGACCACTTGAGGTCGGGAAGATCATGTTACACGGCACCATGAGCAACGAGTGAACCAAGTCCTTTTTGCACAACATGTTGGGCATGTGTAAGTGGGAAAATGTAAGGTGGTGTTCAGTTAACAGTAGATTCAAATATGCAACCAAAAGTTAAACATCTGTCAGCATTTCTTCCTGTCTTTTGTTTATTCCGTCGCTCCTTTACACCACCATTGCTCTAATTGTTTCCCTGGGTCTTACTTTGTTTAATACATCCATGTTAGACTGGAGTCCTTATATGACTCTTACTCACAGCTGTGATACTGTACATAAATATCAATGTTTTAGTTGGTTTTTAACAGTGCACAACATCCCAGTTTGCATGGTTTTGGATATTTACAGGTAAAACGTAGGTGTCTGGGTTAAATTTGGCTGAGACTAGCATTTCAATGACTATATATCAATGTGTAGTTAGGACGTGCTTTGAATGCTTTCGGCATGATGGTTATGCAATGTGCACGAATAAACTTTAAAACCACATTTAACCCATTTAGCCAAATATTGTTTAGCCAAAACACATATAGTTGTACCTATATGTATATATATAGCACCTGTGATAACAGAATATTTATGTCTACCTAATGGTGGCAGCTATTTTCTGACCGCAAACTGCTGGACAATGCAAAAGGTACGTTAGCATCACTGTCTGTGGTGTGTGGCCCTAACATATTCAACATATAGAGCAAGATGCATCTTCGGCTGTCTGCCTCGTGTTTACAGCCTAAACATGAATGGAAAGCAGCGTGAACTGTAGCATTTTGACTGTAGCATGTAGATCTTTCGTCACCTCGCATCTTGCTGCTGACATGCTCTTTGGACGCGATGATCTGGTCCATGTCGGTTCGCAGTCTGGCGTCCAGGGGAGCTGTCTGGGCCTCACAGGCTTCGACCAGTGCTTCATACTGGCCGGTGGTCTGAGACAACACCTGCTTGTACAGTGCATCGGAGATCTGGATGGAGGGAGTGGTTCAAAGACATGAATTGGTTTGGGACTCTCCTGTGTTTGTACGGCATGTCTGCAGTGCACTGTACAGTGTGCTTTGAACTCACCAGCATCCAATGCCTCTGCCTCTGCTGCATCTTCCCCCTCAGGCGAGGTGCAATAACGCTTCTCAGCTCCGGGTGGAGGGTCTCCATCACCAGATTAGCAAGAATCTGTGCGCGCACACACACACACACACACACACACACACACACACACACACACACATACACACAATATATTTCTGTATTTACACACATTCAGTAATTCATTTTATATTCTGTGGAGTTGTTTTAATTTCTCAATGAATTAAAATAAAGAAAATTCCTTAGGTTGTAATAAATCTGACTGAAGTGTATTGGAGTAATTTCCACCTAATGGTCCTATTAGTTAATACTGTGAGCTGAAAGGTCAGTCCTGCCTTTTTACTATTTACAACTATAGTTATTTTGGGCCAATTGGACATTTTCACACTAGAGGTGTTGTCAAAAAAAACAACCAATATCCTGCACCAAAGAAAAACAAAAATAAACCTTAAAAAAGAGGAGCCTCTTTCCCTGGTGGCTACATGGAAACAGTGGGGCGATTGATACGGAGAGGCAGGAAAGCTGGCTGTAATGGCACTGTCCTCACAACCCACACACACACGGAGCTAGGCTCACCTCCATGACGTTTTAACAAAGCTAAAATAATATTTGGTGAAACATGCTGCTGCCCAGTACTGACCGGCTGAGAGAAAAGCAGTGTTTTCCACACAAAAGAACAGCCAAGCTTGACAAACAATGGGTATATTGTACTTTGTTTGCCTAAAGGCTTGTTTGTCTGGAAACACTAAATTAAATAGTATTGTTGCATTGGTGGCTGTGACTTGTGTTACCTTGTTCTAATGATGCTTCAATTTAGTCTGTGTCATTTTTAACATCTATCTGGATACCATCAACATAGTAAGGCCATAAAAACTGAGCTTTTGTGAAAAGTATACTTTTTGTTTCCTTTTTATTAGCATCCCTTAATGTCTACACTGGATAGCTTATTGTGACACATTTGTGTTACTGTATCAGCTATAGATTTTGTTTTCGAGTCAAAGTTTAGCCTGAAAACAGCACGCTGAAAATGTTCGATCACGCTACACGTCACAGCAGAGTAAACACAGGTGGAATTGATACAAATTAATGAGGTCCCATTCTATTTAGTGTGTCACATCCATTCCAGTGAGCCCACATGCACAAAACCAGGGCCCTGGCCCACCTAAATGGAACAGGGCCATAATTAATGTTATTTATCACACCAGTGTTTACCCTGTGACATGTCGAAATGGCTGCTGTGAAAAGGGCCTGTTTATCACACTTTTCTTAAAAATGCAGGCTTTTTAAACCACCCACTGGATCCATTTATCTACTGTTGAAAAAGCTGTGCTTCAAACACATTATGATACCTTCACCGTCGTTAATGTAGCATTTCAGAGCCAACAGCAGGACTCTTTTGTGGAAGAAATCTTTGTGTTAGAGCCTGGCTCATCTGTTGGTTGTTTCACCTGTTGTCCATGAACAACTCCAGTACCTGGAGTTTTTCCTGTCTTCCTGTCCTCCGTTTGAGACTAAGGCGACTGCGCATCACAGTCGCATCACTGAGGTAAGTGTTGTCCAATGCTACTTGTGTTATCCTACAGAATGTTGCCACTAAACCGTTTGTAAGTTGGTGCTTGTTGTGTCAGTCAGCTGTGAGGCTAATACACCTTTTTTCACAGCAGACATTTTGACTTGTCAAAGTAGTGTGTGATCCCACAAAACCAGCACCCTGAAACTAAAACGGCAAAATGAAATTCAGCCCTTACTAATTTCATAATTTACACCTGTGAGTTTCCTACATGTTAAAATGTCTTCCATAGAAAAGGCTTGTTATCAACTGGCTGTTCATTTCTGCTCTTATGTTGCTACCGTGGATTTCCACTGGCCTTGTTTGTGGATTAAGCCTACGTCTTATGGTGACACTGATATTTTATTGTGGCAAAATATGGTCCTGGAGACACCTACTGTAGCGGGTTTGAGAACCTTGCTAGGTGTTTATCTCTCTGTTTGTGGACTGATTTTGTCAACACGATAGTGTGCAGTAGAGATCCCTATGGTGTGATCCCATTGCTGCAAGGTGGTCTCTTCATTGTTCTCCTTGTTGTTTTGTGGGTGCACTTTGATGCCGTCATGCTCTGTTTAGTGTATGTATTATGAATAATATTCATGTTTGAGTATTATGAATGTTTTGGGTTGATTTGGTCTCGCTGGTTTTTGTCTGCGGGTGTTTCCTCTTCGCTCAAAGCAAACTCTGGTCTTCAGGAAATATTGTAACCTGACTTTATGAATGTAAACATGATTGTTGTCACAGTAGTTGCATTCACCTTTTCACCTAACGCGTGTTTTTATTGTAACACCTTGTTTTACTACCAATTACATTAAAACAGCTGAGCTCTAGTGCTGTGGTTTTCCCTGCAGGATTAATAAAACTCGGGGCATGGGCACGGGGAACCACATGCCCCGTGCCCATGCCTGAAACCGGCCTCGCACAGAGCGATTGTGAGGCACTAGCAAGACACTGAAAGAGACTCATTCAGAGGGGAGACCCCAATCAACAGTGTGTGTCCATGTGAACGCTGGTATGTTGAGGGGTGGGGTCTTGTTGCTCTGTTTGAAGGTCTTCTGTAGGTGCAGTCTTGTACTTCAGTGTGAAGAAAGGGTGTGTTTATAAAGCAGATGGAGTGTTTTTTCCTGAGCTTTATTCATTGAGAGAAGACTTTTCTCTGGAAAGCAGCCCAGCTTATTTTCTCTACCAGTGCATGTCATCATCCATCATTGTGGCCTCTCAATAGGTTGAACTACGGCCCTGTACTCGCAGTGACTGTTTCGTAGTTCTTCCTGAATACCTGAAAACTGTCACCTGCAGCAAGCATGCCATTTGGGGCATAATATCCTCGGTGTCAATTTTTAATCACAGGCTGTAACCTCTGAAGGATGTAGCACACAAATGGGGTTTTTTCTGGGAACCTGCATGCACGGCTGAACCTCTCAAAATGAGGTAGTCTAAAACTCACGGTCTAATGTCCTGGAAGTTGGCATCAAAGAACCAACAATGTGTACATACTGTGCCAGTGGAGAACAACGGGAAAGGCCTTATGGACCTGTTTATTTTTTGAAAATGCAGACTTTATAGGATCCAACCCCTGAGCTGAGACAGCGTTGTATTGTGATCTGAGATCCTGACCTGTGGGGGCTCTCCGCACATCATGTCCCAGGTCCCGTAGTGTCCCTTGGCTTGTCTCTGAAGTCTCACTGAGTCGGTGAAGGCTGGCGTCTGAATAGTGCTGTCCTCTGACAGACCTGTTTGGGGCAGAGAAGAGCAGAGCAGATGCTTAGTAACAACACTGAGAGAAGACCCCCTCTCTCCCCTCTTTATGAAGAAGATGCCCTTGACTGAGAGGAATGATCTTAAGATTGGGGGTCGCTTTTTTTCTTTAATTGCACGATTTCTTTGTATTAAAGTAAGGTCTCAAAATCCTCTGCAATGACTAAAAGGGTGTTTTCTTGACGTGAGATGAACAAATGCTCGGAAATTTCATTTGTTTCTGTAGATTCCCACACTAACAACCGTTTCCATAACATCCGAGTCATTTCTGTGTGACGGTCTGAGTGTCTCATTTTTGGCCAGCGGTATATTCAGTAACAGTCGCTGCAGTGCAGGACGTGACACATGCACATTCCCCGCATCGCGCACACAGTTGTGTCATCAACCAAAACGGGAAGATGTCGGCTTGTTGGAGGACAGATTTCATGTGGTTGCCCCGGGTTACCGCCACACCCAACTGACGGGACAATAGCAGCAGCTCACAAAGCGCCCGGCAACATGCGTGTGTTTTTCGGAAGTTTGCTCCTATCATGTGGTTGTGTTTAAGTGATGACAATACAGCTGCCTCTCTCAAGGCAAAGTTAAACATCCCTCACAAGAGAGTATGAGCAGGTGTATGGAATAACACATCCCTATAATTACCAGTTTGTTCTTCCTTAAAATAAACGGGACCAATGCTTCAGTTGTTTTACTCTTGTGGCAACAACAGTCAGTCCTTCTGATGGAGACATGTGTAATTAAAGGATTGGTTTTCTGTTTGCCAAACTAGCCCTGATTGAAATGTTGTTTACCATCATTTATGATCAGTCAATAATTTAACACAACTTCAACAATAGCAGCAATACTTTATACACTTACAGCGAGTGCTGTACTTGTACAATTTCCACTGAAGTAGTTTCCTTATAGCAGTGGTGGAAGAAATATTTAGACCCCTTACTTAATATAAAGTACAAGTACTACAGTGATGCTGATTTTTGAATGAAATGACCCGCCCCAAAACGACCCATTACAGTAACATCAGGCTAATGTTTAGGATGACATGGCAAAAAAAAGTGGTTCTTCAAATATATAGATTTTTAAATTGCATAGCCTGTTTGGGACAGTACAGCGTCCACTCTTGCAGATTCTTCTTCAAGTCCAAACAAATGAGAGATACAAATTCAGTTTCCTAAACGGCACAATGAATGAATAGTTGCTTTACCAACAGAGTGATAATCTGTTTTGTTGTATGTGAAGTCTATTATGCACAAGCATTCAATGTGTGTGTGTGTGTGTCCATCAAGTTGTTTTGTCTGTGCGTCAGTGACTCACGAGGAGGCTGACAAAGACAGGAAGTGAGGAGGGGGAGGGCCAGAGCCAGACAGGAAGCTGTCTCTGCTCCCAGCCCACTAACTTTTTGCTGACGGGCTGAAGGCTGTGTTGGCTTGTTTTGGCACGAGGTTTCATGGGAATTCACTGGATAAGGATAGAGGCGCAGTGGGAAAGTAACCGCGCAGAAGGCTGCCACGTTGGCAGGTGACCAGACATCGTCTGGAGGTCAAATGCAGTGAAAAGTGTCTGAGGGACGCAGCAGCGGTTATGGTTTAAGATCCTTATACCAAACATTTCATGACTCATAACTGATCATGTGCACGTCAACAACAGCCACATGGCCCTTTGAAGTGTACTTGACAGTCAACCAACCAGTTTTTCTCCATGAATATAATTGATTTGGATGGTTTCACATGGCTGAATTCTGTGTAGTCCATAGCTATCTCACAGACTCCATGGCAAGTAACATTATACTTCCTGTTTACATCTGTCTTACAGAAGTAACAAAGAATAGCAATAGGAATGACAGACCCAACTCCTCCTCTGGGTCTCTAACTCTTGATGTTTTGGTGTTTTACTCATGTTAGCTAGCCAGCTGCAACGGTAATAGGAACCTGGTACATGCATATTGAGTAGCTGTGGGTGATGATGGACTGCTGACCTACTGTAGCTCAAAATCAGTATCCTGTTTTTGCGGGCGTGACTGGAAGTTATGTGAAAGAGAAGCAAAAACAGACTTGAGTAGAGCCCTAAAATAAATGGTAATAGTAAATGCGTATTATTAAGCGCTTTCATATGGCTTACATGGCCTGGCACTGGTCTGGCTGGGAGCCACCTTCAGTCTTTGTGTTTGCCGTTTGGTTTACGAGACTATATCAGTCATTTGAACACTTTCAGGGCACAAACTACGGTCAGATCATCAATGTGAAATACCTGAAAAGCAAAGTCTTCTACATTCTTATCTTGTTGCTCACTTTTAGAGAGTTTTCTTCTTGGTGCCAGGCCTGTAAACCACTACACATTCTCCATGTCTGAACCAAGCTAGATCAAGGAGCAGATTAGAGTTTCTCTGCTCTGTGTGTGTGTGTGTGTACTTTGTATAAATAGAACATGTGGCAGCACTTACCACAGTCTCTTTATGTGAGGCATTTCCCTCCCTGCCTTGCACACCACGCTCTGGTTGGTGGGATCTTAGCAGCAGCTGTGGATGAGTTCCCAGGCCTTCACATCTACAAATGTGTGCGCGTGTTTTCCCGGAGTTAAATGTATTTGACGTTTTTAAAAACCCACTAAGCATTTGACTGTCAAATACTGTCTGATTAGACCTCGGCTTCAGGGCAGCTGCCTTCACGAGATCAAAGCAGGTTTTAAACACTTCATTCGAACCCTCACACTGCTGCTGCTCCCACCGACATGCATGAGTAGCATTTCCCCATATGGTGCAGCCCTATGGAACCAGCCAAACCCACAGTGCAATAAATACTCACTGAAATGTACCATCAACCGCAGACATCACAAACACATGACTGATGAATACGTCCTAAAATGCAATTTTAGCAAATCCTTACCTCCAGCAGCAGCAACTGAGAGAATGCTGGACACCCAGTCTTGGTTTATTTTGTATTTTAGTGCTCTAATATATTGTCTGGACGTGACACCATAGAGTACAAAAATGTCAGCATTTTTAATTATATAGCATGCCGAAAAGCACACTGCTCTGCAACTAACAAGCCACACACCTGGCTTGAAATGTACTTGTATTGTCCTTTTTGAATGCACGTCTCTTCTTGCGGTGTGGAATTGGTGTGAGGTCTGTGGATCAGAGCAGGGGGCTGGTGGTGGTTTTAGAGGCTGTGGGGGTGGAGACCTGTCTCTGATTGATGGTTCTCTAGTGGCCCAGCAGCAGCTTTGGTGCAGTCTTTGACTGCTAATGTGATGCAGCCTCAGCCTGGCTGCTGGACTGCTGCACAAGGGCTAAAGCTAATGATTATGTTGTATTATCAATTAATTTCTTGATTGTTTTTTTTAATTAATTGATGAATCGTAAAAATTACAAAAAATTCAACATGTATTGAAAGCCCAAGATGATGTCCTCGTTTTGTTTCTTTTGCTTGACCCACAATTCAAAAGCAAAAACTAAATTATGAAGGATATGAAACCAAAGGGAACAAATCCTCACATTTCAGAAGCTGGAACTAACAAATGTTTGCCAATTTCGATTTAAAAAAAAAAAAGTGCTATTAAAGCTACTGCGAGGAACTTTGGTTCTGTGTTGATTTTGGGCGGTCCCTGTGGACAAAAGCGGTAGTGTTTCCCTCCAGAAAACCGCTCATTTACTGCAGCAGGGTCAGACGGTCTGCCCTGCGCTGTCCTGGTTCTCCCGTCCCTCTCTTCCCTGCAGCGAGCCCAGCAATACGGGCTGTGTTGCCAGCAGTGTTGTGTCGGCTCCCAGAGGGGACCGGCGGAGGAGCGAGGCAAAGCTCTGCTCCTGGCTGCAAGGAGCTGCTGCTGCCGGGCGTAGATTTTTGCGGGAGTCGGACCCATCAGTATTAAATTGACACTGTTTCATAACTAGTTCAAAGTTCCTTTTAGCAATTAAAAATGTTGTGCAGAATACTGCGATGAAGTCACCTGTTAACTGAGATCATTATCAGGAATGCTTTGCAAATCATCCTGTTAAGACGATGCAAAGCAGCGGCCGCTCATTTTACTGGAGAGCTATTGAGGATAAAACGACAAGAGCTTTAGTGAATTCAAAATAGAGCTTTAGTGTGTCCATGTTTTACATTTGACTTGTGGTTTTTACTTATCAAACCCAGCTGAATAGTGTCAGTGATCAGCTGAGGAACTGCTTTGCCTGAAGCTTCTGTGCTGCTAGAAGTTTATTCTTCATGTACATTGAAGTATTTCCTTTACCATTACTGACATGCTCTGTAAGAATCAGAAGTGGTAAATGCACTGGCCATTTCTCACTTGAGTGTATGCCATTTACAGCCATTAATTCTTGCTAGTAATGATTTTGTGAGTGTGAGTGTGAGTGTGTGTGTGTGAGAGAGAGAGAGAGAGAAACTGCAGAGAGGGCAGGGGTCAGGCTGTAAAACCATTTATCACTCCCAGGAAAAGTCTTTTACCGGTTCTGGTTTTCCTCAAAACACAGGTGGGCCTGGGCGTGTCAACACAGGCCAAACGCATGAATGCCAAATCCACACTGACACCAGCCACGGCGACAGTAAAACAGCAACACGCTCTTCGCTGTTCCTTACAACGTATCACCGGAGCCCAGCCTCACAGCTGGAATGTACGGCAGGGACTCTGGTGTTCACTGAGCGTGCCCGAACAGGTAGTGTTGGGGAAGTAACGGGTGAGCTTGACTGGATACAGACAAGAGGCAAACTTACAGTGGGTACGGAAAGTATTCAGACCCCTTTAAATTTTTCACTCTTTCATTGCAGCCATTTGCTAAAATCAAAAAAGTTCATTTTATTTCTCATTAATGTACACTCAGCACCCCATCTTGACAGAAAAAACAGAAATGTAGAAATTTTTGCAAATTTATTAAAAAAGAAAAACTGAAATATCACATGGTCATAAGTATTTAGACCCTTTGCTCAGTATTGAGTAGAAGCACCCTTTTGAACTAGAACAGCCATGAGTCTTCTTGGGAATGATGCAACAAGTTTTTCACACCTGGATTTGGGGATCCTCTGCCATTCTTCCTTGCAGATCCTCTCCAGTTCCATCAGGTTGGATGGTGAACGTTGGTGGACAGCCATTTTCAGGTCTCTCCAGAGATGCTCAATTGGGTTTAGGTCAGGGCTCTGGCTGGGCCAGTCAAGAATGGTCACAGAGTTGTTCCGAAGCCACTCCTTTGTTATTTTAGCTGTGTGCTTAGGGTCATTGTCTTGTTGGAAGGTGAACCTTCGGCCCAGTCTGAGGTCCAGAGCACTCTGGAAGAGGTTTTCTTCCAGGATATCTCTGTACTTGGCCGCATTCATCTTTCCTTCAATTGCAACCAGTCGTCCTGTCCCTGCAGCTGAAAAACACCCCCATAGCATGATGCTGCCACCACCATGTTTCACTGTTGGGATTGTATTGGGCAGGTGATGAGCAGTGCCTGGTTTTCTCCACACATACCGCTTAGAATTAACGCCAAAAAGTTCAATCTTGGTCTCATCAGACCAGAGAATCTTATTTCTCATAGTCTGGGAGTCCTTCATGTGTTTTTTGGCAAACTCTATGTGGGCTTTCATATGTCTTGCACTGAGGAGAGGCTTCCGTCGGGCCACTCTGCCATAAAGCCCCGACTGGTGGAGGGCTGCAGTGATAGTTGACTTTGTGGAACTTTCTCCCATCTCCCTACTGCATCTCTGGAGCTCAGCCACAGTGATCTTTGGGTTCTTCTTTACCTCTCTCAGAGAAATAAAATGAACTTTTTTGATTTTAGCAAATGGCTGCAATGAAACAAAGAGTGGAAAATTTAAAGGGGTCTGAATACTTTCCGTACCCACTGTATGTCAGAACATGTGTGTGCTAATGTTGGTGTTTGAGTTCTAATTCTATTTGCCCATTGGCTGTGTGGTTAGGGATAAGGCTTTGAATTCATGCAACTCAGTTGGCTTGATAGTTGGCTAAGTGCAAAACAAGGTTGAATCAGGTTGGGCAACTTTGTTCTCAATACAAGATGGTTTGGGCCTCAACTTACAGTGGAAACATTTAGAAAAACTAACATGCATGCTTGCTTGCATCTTTCTGTAGGTGCTGAGTGATTTGATGCAGCTCACTTGATGATTACAAAGATGTGATGATGCATGCTGACAATGACTTGGAGCACTACTGCAGATAATTCAGCCATACATAAGCTTTCATATGAGGTAAGCTGTTGTAGCCTTAGAGCTCAAACAACACAAACAACATTATACTCGTGTGTACACGCCCACAGGCAGTACAGACTGTACTTGTGTGCTTGAAATTTAGGGTCAGCTAAGGTAAAGTCTTTTCTTTGTGCATCGAAACTTCCATGTACTAAAGAAAGTGGATGTTAGCAATATGTTGCCAAAATGTTAGTATGTATTGTTCCCCAAAGTTAAACATATATAATGGTATAACACGGCTGTAGTGTGGGTACTATTTACTACAGGTAAATAGATTAAACTAATAGATGTCACCATAACCCTTCCCTAGTTGATTTTCTGAAAGTTTGTTTAAATATGCAGATGAGACAGTATCTGTTTTTTCAGTATTGAGCAAATAGACAAAATAGATAAAGTAAAGACCTAAATATGTATTTTGGTTGTTTTATTTCCACTAGTTTACATGTATATAGGAATAAAACGGCCCAAAATCTCAGTGCATTACAGCCAATGTTTTTGCCTGTAGTGTCTTGCCTTAATATCGTTGAAGTAATAATACTAGAAGTACCATAGAAAAGGTGGATTCAGGTGCCATTATGTAAGGATGTTAAGTATTGTCTGGTGATTATGTGTATCTTAGATTCAAAGGTTGCTGTAATAGGAATAACTGGCAAGTGAATATAGCCAGTTATCTTCAGCTTTTTATAGTTAAATACTTTATAGATATGCTCTTGAGTTCATAATTCGTATAAGAACCTTTATGAATAAGCTACGCTCGATCTACAATCTCTGTCCACACCACCTTTCTCTGCAGCCAGCAAGATCCAAGCAAGCCCAATCACGTTCACAACAGCAGCCGTTCGTTTATCTCCGAATATCTGTTTTGTATATCTCAACTTCCCCACCTTCCCCACTCATTTGGATTCTCTGTCTCCAGTCTAAATAGAGCACACTGAATGAGAGATCACACACGCCCACAACCACAAAAATGACCTTGACTCACCTTAAATGAAGGCAGCGAATGGACTCCCTACTTATTGCTGCAAAATCGAAATTGAAATGGACCTGCTTATTACATTTAATTCTTAATAGTGTATAATTTGAGTCAACATGCCACAAGGTTTGGAAGCAGGCCAATCATTCCTACCACTTTAGTTTCTTCTACACAAAGCCCAAAGGTGCCATTCTAAGTTGTCTTGCTGAGAGATATGACAACATGAGAATAAAATGGATTGCCTTATGTTTGAACATTGTGTCTCAACACAATGTCACATGAGTCACGCCATCACAAAAACAATCCTTAATAGCGGATCAAGAGTAGTTCTCCACCCAGATAAAACAAACATGTTCTATTTTGCAACCAAATACAAAACGCACCGCAGTATCCTGCAAATACCATCAATGCACGAACAGCAGCCAACACTCAAATAATGATGATCAAACAAAGAAGGGCGGGTTAATCAACCTGTACAATTTTAAAAAGTCTAATAGAAAAGTAGCTCGTCGTTGCAACAACATTCTTCAAGCTTTTGATAAATACGTCGGCTTATGATGCATTTAGCTTGATTTTATTTTTTAGAAATTGTTTAAATGTAGTTTGTCGCAGTTCCCCTCTGATATTTTAATTTTTAAATGTTTTTATTTTTTTTGGCCAATCACCCCAATCCTGGAAGTAGCCATTCGTTGGGCCAGCACATCGCTACACTGATGACATTAATGATAATGCCTCAATGGTTAGAGTAGAGTCCGCTTTGCCGTTCTTTCATGATGCTAAAGTAAACAATTCTAATGTAAATATTTCACAGTGAAAGCCTTTCAGAAAAGAGAAGGGATTAGGGCTATTCAGGACGATGATTACGCTGTCTACTATTGGTTTGATTAATTGGTTATTGGTTGTAAAAACACCCATCAACAATTTCTCAGAGCCTAAATCCACATCATCAAAAAAAAAAATTAAAAACAAATGAAGAGTTGATTGTGAATTAACAGCTTAATCAAAAACCAGTAAGCTTCTCACAAAATATGCTAAACGATTAATTAGGTCTGGTTCTCTCCTCAGCTGAGTAAATAAAGTCCCTGCAGCACTAGTTGAGTGATTGTCTGTCTTGGCTGTAAAATGTGTAACATTTGGAGCTCTGATCCAACGACGACAACATGTCTCACTGTAGCCAAGACTACTAAAATAAAACAAATACCCATCATTCCTGCTGCACCTCACATTCAACCAGCTCACTCAGAAGGCATGTAAAGGCTTCACACTGTGACACACACACACACACACACACACCTCGTCTGAACCACCAACAACTGTAGACAGGCAGAGAGAGGCACGAATTGTCCGTAGCACAGAGAGAAAGACATGTACTGTAAGCGCTGGACAACTGAATTTAACAACTTATCATCTCTTGTGCTCATTGCAGTGCTCCATAAATACTCTGAATCCCATTCATTTATCACTGCCAGGGACCCTTTTAAGCCGTGTTACTTCCTTACTTCTCTACACGTGAAGTCGTTGTGCGCTTGTGTCTTTTTCTTACCATTGTTACTGTGTCTGACACAGTCCTGCAGCACTGCGTGCCACTTCTTCTGCTCCTTCTCCGTCATCACACAGAAGTAGTGGTGGCGGGCGTACGGGTGCCACAGGATGAGGGGGAACTTGGTCGCACACTTGATGAACGGATTACTGCCCACTTTGGCCTTGATACCTGCAACAGGTCACATGACGGAGCGAGAATGAGGAACTGCAAGATCTAGATTGAATTCATTAATTTGGAGTTTTTCAAAAATGATACTGATTTAATGCCCAGCCAAAAGAACAACAATGTATGTTCAAGTAAACAGACTATACGATACTATTTATCAACCATTTTTTGCCATATTTTCTCATATATATTGTCATATTTAGAGTATATATATTCATTATTTTCTTTGTCATTTTCCTACCTGGCAGGCTGGTATTAATCAGCTCCATGTATTCCTCTATTGAGGTCAGAACCTTGTACCCAGCGCAGTTGATAATTCCTCTCGAGTGAAGGCCTCGTTCGTGTGCCTGTCGGAGAGATGGCCAAAAAAAAAAAAAACACGGCAAGCTGTTTTAACACAAGTGCCCAAATCACCGAATCGGACAACCGTTCAGTCGAGTACGAAGTGCACTCACTGTTTTGCTCTCATAGAGGCTGATGGCGTAGCTGTTTGGCACAGATACAAAGCGATTCCTCCACTTCCGATTCTCCTCCAGATACTGAAACAGACTCCCTGAGAAGATGGACCGGCCTGCCAGAGGGTCCTGAAAAATCAGATTTTATGTATCATTGCAAAGCATATGTGCGTAATTTGGGTTTATTCAGAGAATGGTTGAACTCTGCAAGAGACCTGAAGGGGTAGGTGGTCTTTTTTTTTGTTTGTTTGTGTGGGTTTACCCAAGGATGCATACCACCCACTTTGTTTTCAGATTTCCTGTTTTAGATCAAGTAATACTGTAACTGAGATTGCTCAGAGAGGAAGGAAAGAACGAAGGGGACAGAAGTGAGTAGAAGAGCTGAAACATAAAGAGGCACTTGGGTTAGAGAACAGATTTGCTGCTGGAAACTGTTAAATTACTTTATCTGTTAATTTTATTATATATACACACACGTGTGTGTTTGCAAAGCATTAATTCACATGTGCATAATTTTGCTCTTCTGTCATAAGCACTCGCAAGCAGCTGTCCTCCGCATAGTGAAGAGAGCAGAAAAACTACTATAATAGAACTCCAACCGGCATCTCCGTTCATGTGTGAAATGTGCTCCACTTCCCCCTCAGTGATTGAAAATGTGAACAAAAGTGGGACCTACAGTACATTCGGCAACCGAGAAGATGAGAGGAAAACAAAAAGTGGTCGAGGGTTGCTCCCTCTTAGTCGTTTAGGTGACTAATCAGTCATTTCGGTCTTAAGTCGACTAAGATTTCTTCAGGCGATTAGTCGTTTTTCATGCTGAATGGCTTATTTCCAAGAAATGAATGAGTGTATATCTGGTAAACACAACATTTTATGTGGCGCTTTTGTGTGATTCTTTGTGAAGAAACTCAGTTTTACAGATCAACTAATGGATTAGTCGACAAAACTGAAACAGTTTCTCTAGTCAAAGACAGCCCCAGTCAGGTTTAAACCTCTCTTTTGTAATAGATACAATTGCACGTGCCTTCCTGTGAAGCAGCTGTGACTGCGTTCCTCCTCCTCCTTCTATCTCATAGCGGACGCTGTTGAAGAGAGCGACTGCGTACTGCTGCTCGTACACGTCGCTGAACTCCTTCATCACATCTCTGGTCCGAGCTACAGGAGGACACACAGACGGACACACAAGATCAGGAAACATCCACACTTACACAGACAAGTGAAAAATCACATCTTAATGTTTAACAATAATAGATTGTGCTGAAAGGTACAAATATTTAAGTTTTTAAAAAAAGACCATCCTGCAATGACAAATAATGAAGAAAGCTTGAATTAAATGGTAAAAGTTCATGTTTGGTTCCAATTTCCAACAAGAAAGACTTGACAAGGTCTTGCAACCTTATCAACGCTATTTTAGAAATGATTTTCAAAACGTATCGGTTGCAATTTAAGTATCTTTGTTAAACATTGGCTGTGTTTATTTGGGGAGCTGCAATTCTCCTGTGTGGACATGCTGTCTTAAATTGAGTCTCACCCTGTCAGAAAGGCCACATCCTCCCCCACCGCTATCGGCTCTTTATGAAAAGTGCCATATAGTAAAATTCAAAGTGGGCAAGAAAACATAGTGACGCTTGTGCAGCACTCAACAAAGCGATACCAAACATGTATTATCAGCACAGTTCACTTTATATCAAAGATGTCTGGGACAGCGCTGTAATTAATTCAATTTTTGGGACTGAAAGCTTTTGCATATAAAATACAACTCCAGTCAAAAGTCATTGTACACCTACCTATATACTCAATATTTACCTATATATTCTTTTTATTTTATGGCTGTGCCATTCAATTAAATAGAAGTATAGATGTCTTACTTGTCATTTTGTACAAGTTTCCTGTCTGAGCCTCAAAACGATTATCATAAATCAAACATTTCGGGGTTGTGGAATGTTGGTCGGACAAAAAAGATAGTTTGAAGATGTCACCTTGGGAATTGTGGCAAGTATCTTAAGATATATTATATAGAGTAATGATTAATCAATCATGAAAATAATTGTTAGTTGCAGCCCTAGTTTGGAGCGAAAGTATGGAGTCTCCCTTTGGGTATCAATTCAGATGAATCAATGTTTTCCTGTATTGCATAGATCCTTTCCACAGCTTGACTCAGCATTTCTTTTCCACCACTATTCTGCGAGCAGCATCCTACTAAATAGTCCGAGAACCTTCTGGAAGGGACATGAGCTTTTCCCACATTACAGTGCTGGAAAATGAGTTAGTTTGCGAGTCAATCGGTGTGTTTGGCTCAGTCAGCAGCAGACTAGAGTTGACTAGTCTATGATGTTTATGGAAGGGACAACGCAGGAAAGAGAGCCGGCATGCAGTGGGAGAGCAGGAAGGGAAGAGCTGACAGGACAGGATAGATGGAGAGAGAATGTGGAGGAGACAGGGACACACAAACTTGTTAAAACCTGCGTCATACCACGAGGAGATGCAAGGGCAGGTCAGAGGAAAAATAGAGGACATTCTTGAGACGGCTAAAACAAAGACTCCTCCTAAATCCACTTAATAGGGCTGGCTATTGAATCTTGATACTTTTTTATATTTAAAAAAAGCCCTACGGTTTAGGAATGTCTTGTCGTCTGTTTTGGTTCACTCACTCAAGTCAAATGCGGATACTTTGTCTCCCCTGAGGTCCCAAAACGTTATTTTTATGTTATGCACAAGATATGGATCTTATCCATCTTATTTTGTTATTCTATAATGGTGGATATCAGATGTTCATAGAAACTCTCTCTTTACAGTCGGTGAAAATTTCCACAAGATTAGTGCTGGCTAACGGTGCTTCCTTAGAGTTGGTACTTTCCACTGGTTGTCTTGCTGTGCCAAAGTCAGCAGACTGGATAATTACACATGGGCAGTCTTTTGGGCACTTTGAAATTGGAATTTGGGAACAAAGGCCACATCATAAATCACATACTCAATCGTCTATTTCAACCTGTGTAGGCATGCCAAAAAAGTTCCGTTATATCCATTCATACACCACATACAAGACCCATAGAGAAAACTGACCCTACTCTAAGTGTGTTATATGAATTAATTAACTGCAACACAGCCTTAGAGACCAGGAAAACATGATATCTAAGATGGAGTACATCTTGATATCATTTTCCATTTGTTGCCACTTATCCGGGGCCTGGTCATTGTGGCTAAGCAAGGTAGTTTAGACATTCCTCCTCCCAGCAACTTTTTCCAGCTCCTCCTGGAAGATCCTGAGGCGTTCCCAAGCTAGATGAGATATATAATCTCCCTAGTGTGTTGTGGTTCTACCTACCACTGAGTCTCCTACCAGTTTGACATGGCGAGAAAATCTCCAAAGGAAGGCCCCCTAACCCCACCTCTAAGGGTGAGTCCAGATACCCAATGTAGGAAAGTTATTTAGACTGCTTCTATCCGCGATCTCATGCTTACGGCAGCTACCTAAAGCTCATGACCATAGTTGAGGGTTGGAACGCAGATCAAGTGGTAAATTGAAAGCTTTCCCTTCCAGCTCTCTCTTCACGCCTTGCTACTGACACGGCACCAATCCGTCTTTTGATCCCATGCTCCAGTTTACCCTCACTCATGATCAAGACCAGAAGATGCTTGAACTCCTTCACTTGAGGTAGCAACTGACTTCCAACCTGGAGGGAGCCATCCACCGTTTTCTGCGAGAGAATCATGACCTCAGACTTAAAAGTGCTGACTCTCAGCTCGACCACCTCACATTTGACTGCTAACCGCCCCTTTGTGTGCTGAAGCCAACAGAACCACTTCATCTGCAAAGAGAAGAGAAGCTGATGTTCCCAAACTAGACACTCTCCTCACCCTGGCTATGTCTTGAGATCCTATCCATGAAAATCACACGCATAATTGGTGACAAACTGACAACACCGGCAGAGCCCATCGCCCACTGAAAACGTGTTTGACTTCCTGCTGACAATACCGTCACAGCTGTCACCTTAGTTATATAGTATCAGGGACGGATGGCTTGCTATAAGGTGATCTGTTTCACTCTTAAGAGTCAGATTTTTGAAAACCAACTTGGCTCAGTTTCAAAACAAAACTTCTCATCTCTTCTCTGACATGATTTTGACATCAGATAATTCGCTACACCCCACAAGACTTAAGATACATGGCCGTAAGCCTTCTCTAAGTCCACAAAACACATGTAGACTGGATGAGCAAACACCCATGAATGCTTAAGTCTCATTTAAAAGAAAAAATGGGAGCCAACACCACAGTCTGCCATTCCACAGGCAATGTTGCAAACTCAATGTAACATTGAAGAACTGCGTCAGCCAAGACAGACCAACAATGTTCAGAGCTTTTCGCATCTCACCCACACCTGGCGCCATGCTGCTGGTGAGCTTCTTAACTGCTTACAGAGACCTCCACCAGGGATATGCAGGTTTCCCCCACATTTTCAAAAGCTGCCTCCCATGTGTTCGTTGAGTTCTGGAGTCCCTCAAAGTTCTCTTTCCACCCTTCGACCATATCCCCAACCATGGTGAGCGGTTCTCCTCCCCTGCTGAACACAGCCTGAAGCAATCCCTGCTTTTCCCTTCGCGAGAACTCCTTGACACCCATGTCTTTACCTCAGCTACCAGCGAAGCCGCAGCCCTTCTAGCCTCCTGGTACCTGTCTGCTGCTTCAGGAGACCCCTGTGCCAACAAAGCCCAAAAGGTCTTCTTCTTAGCCTTGATGACCTCTTTCTCAGTCGCCGCCACGACATCCATCATAAATTCTTCCGGGACCTCACGGACAGAGGCCTCAGCCAGAGGTTCTCAGTTCACCCTCACTACACGTTTGGGTTCACCAGGTCTGTTCCTGACGGTCCTGACAGTCTTCCCTGCCATCTGATCCAACTCACCACCAGGTTGACCGCTGTGCTCATTTCGTGACCCAAGTGTACAAGACATATGGCTGCAGATCTGAGGGGAGGTGGAGCGGTGCCAACTCGATAATATTGGGCTCACCTCTATGCATAGCACTGGGACCAAACTCCAGGAAAGGGGCCGGACTCTCTTTCCTGGGCTGGTGTGGGAATACTGACAAGCCACTGGCTGAGCTCCGCTGTGTTGAAGTTTATCCCTGAGAACCAAAGGATCACCTCTATGCATGTGATTGGGGCAGCTGTGGCTAAGCTGCTATGGTGGGTTGTCCCTTAATCATCTTTATTCGATCCCCAGCTCCATCCTGCTTAGGATGGGTTAAATACAGATGTCAAATTCGATGTATGTACCTGTACGTGACATTTGGAATTAAGATTAAGAGAACGTCATGCCTTTTAGTTGTTGAATGCTACAAAAATGATAAATTTTTTCAGAAACTAAAATGAGCGATTGAAGTCTGAGATGTTGACATAAGCTGCTGGCTAATATTGTGAGCATAATTAACTCTCAGCTTTTGCTTTCATTTTAAAGTCGCAGTCTTGTTCTGCGACACATATTTGAGAAACGACTGCAAGATCTTCATTATGGATGGTCTTCATTATTTACCTATCCTGTAGTCAAACAAGCAAATAACTTTGTCTCTCTTAAGTGCATATTGCGTCCGTGTTGTGTGGGCTCACGAGGGAGATCATTTTGTGAGAATGTGCTTGGGCGGCGATGATGAAGGAATAACTTTGTCGGGAGGTGCACACTCCAAACAAGACTCCCAATGCAAAAATGCTGAGTAGAATACAGTCACTCCCTCTCTCTTTACCACTCGCACACATTCAAAGTACTTAAAAGGGCATGCTATTTGTTATGCTATTATTGTGTACTTTACATGCTTGAATACATGCAAAGAAGAGTGCAAAGGGCCTACAGATAGATGGCTAGAGATGACACAGATGGAGGCTGTGTGAGAGCCAGACAGCAGTTTCAGCTATTATTCTTGTGACATGTTCCTACCTGCTTTACCTCTGCGACCTCATTATGTTCTTCTCTCCCTCCTCCTCTGATTCATCTTTTTATGTGTATGTATTTCTCAGCCAGACTCACAACATGAAAATATTGCACTACTTTGGCTAATCTAGTTGAAAACCTGAAATGATGGTGGCTCTGTCAACAGTTTGGATGTTCACGTTTTTAAATTTGTTTTTAACTTAGACCAACTTTTAGACACCTTTGTCAGTTGAGCCAGTTCCTTCATTGATGAAGAATGTGAGGTGCAGTTGAAGCTCCAGAAAAGCTAAGTGGACCTTTTGAGATGAGATTACTTTGTAACACAAACTGTTCCAAGGGTTGAGAGTAAACTTCTGAATCTGACAGGATGCATATTTCTTGATTTGAAGAGACGTATAAGGATGCAGTCAGATATAGGGCATTACATTATAGGGCTGCAAAATAAATGGATATATATTATATCTATGAATTCTATGCATTATTTTTTGAATAGTTGATGAGTTTAGAAAACATTGCAAAAGATGGATGCCTCAAATATTCCCCTCATCCCAAAGTGACTTCTTCAAATAGCTTTTTCTTTTCTTTGATTATCAAATTTGTTGTTGTTCGTTTTTTTTAAAAATCGTTTCAGGAATACCACACCCAGTCTGTCTCTTCAGATACGTCGTAATAAACAGACCTTATGTAAACTGAGAAACCAGCTTCCATCAATGTTATTCTCACTACTTTGAACTGTTCCTGAGAATGTTTCTCTTTCTGGTTCATAAGAAACGGAAGCAACAAACACGCCGAGTGTCTGAAACCTCAAGAACATAGTCGTCGGTTTGCAGGAGTGGTTTCCTCATGCTAGTGTGCCTGTCTGCCAGCATACACACAAGCACAATTACAATCCTGAAGGAACACCGGAACTGAAAATGATTCTGAAAGCAACAAAGTCTACACGGTAATAAAAAATGTAACCAAGCAAGTCTTCTCTCTTTTCTATGTTTTAGACCTTTGATGCATTGCCAAAACTTCTTCCAGCAATGAAAGTCTTATCTTTTAAAGAAAGCATCCAGGCCTAGATATTCATGGAAGTGGTTCATGGAATCGTTCCTCTGCTTCCCTCTGCTCCCATTCCTTGTTGGAAAATAACCACACAGACCTTCACAGTGGGAGGCTGGAGCAATCTGAGATTTAAATAGCAGGCAGTCCCAAACTTATACAAATATGCTCTCCTTTGGGAAACCTACTTATTATCTCTGAGAAATAGGCCTGCAGCAGAGATCGGGGGAACTGTTCAAGTAGAGCAGGGCAACAATAGCTGATATGAAAGAGAAGCTTTGTCCTAGAATGAAACGGGAAAGGGGACACTTGCTGAGGGAGACTTAAAAAACTGGGTGTCTGCAGGCATTAGAGTTCAATTTGATGTAATTTAACACCACATACAGTAATAAGAAATGTAAGTCAGATATTTGTGTGACAAATCATGCAGACGGTCTCAGTGGATTTCCCTCCGCAGGTCAGTAAGGACAGCTCAGTTTAAAGATTTGTTTTATGATAAAGCTTTCTCCAACACATAAGCACGAGTTTTATGACAAATGGAGAAAGGAAATCGGATAAGAATTTGTTGAAAATTACACATTTGAAACTGTCGGATGACTTCTACGGCCCCTTATTTGGAGAATATAGACATTTTAAGAGCTTTTATGATAAAAGTCAATTACGTTGTTATATATTTGTATGAGCATGTAAGTTTTGGATATGAATAAAAAAACGTTTAAGTAACTTCAGTCTGTGAGAAACTACATTCATCCTGCAGCTCAGCCACTCCTCACTGCAGCCTTACCTGTTATCACCTCCCGCCTGCCCTCATCCAGGTGAGAGGAAACCACGTCCCCCATGGTTATAGGAGAGCCCCACAGAACCCGTATCGGTGTATCCGAGTTGCTTACAGGTTGTACTTAAGGGGGAAATCTTGGTTATACTTCCAGTAATCTCAAATATCCGAGCAGATCCACCGGGGAAAATAAATGCCTTCCCTCCAGAGAGGCGCACGGCTCTGGCGCTGACTGCGTGTCTTCTTTGGAGGAATGCGGCGAGGTAACGACTCCCCGCGGGTGAGGAGCAGGAGGAGGTGAACACTGGCCTGGTTCACAGCGGCAGGACACACCCTCTGGGAGTCATCACTGGTTCAACGTGTTTAGGCGGCCCTGCCAAGGGTGTGGCCAGAACCAGGAGCTTTAGCGTAGTAACAACATATTTAACATTTACTGTGAATGCGAGTGTGGTGTTTGTGAGCGTGCAGCCCGACTTTGTTTGGTGTTTAACTTCTAGCTTAATTTAAGAATAATGCATTTAAAACACAGACCAAATGCATTGTAGCCTATATAGTGATCAACCCTCAGCAAGGTGGCCTATTGGAAATATGTTTTTATGTGGTTGGATTTAATTAATTTGAATCCACTCTTAACGCCCAATGCAATTTGAATACAAATAGAAGTTGTTCAGTCAGAAAACTCGTGTTTCCATGATCTCCAGTGTTTGCGCTTCATTGCAGAAAGATACATGCTGCCCCCTTGTGGACACTTGTGTTACTCGTCTATTTAAAATTGAGAGGGGCCTGTATCCACTGTTAAGGTTGCAACTGGAATTGTTGCAGATTAATTAAAATGGTGATCGATTTATAGCAAACTGGTCCAGCAGTGTGTCGGTTATGTAGCCTACTGTATGGAGCTAGCATTTGTTGCTTATTGAATTTACCTGACTCCAGGAAGAGCATGCTGTTGGGGATCCACATAAACATTATAGAGCAATAACCAGTGCTTATTATAAGGAATGTAGTGACTATTTGGATTTTGGGCTTTATTGTTTTCATGAATTTCATTTATCAAGCAAAATGTTAATTTCAACTCCTCAAATGTGAGTCTTTGCTGCCTTTCTCTTTCCCATCACTGTAAACTAACGAATATATGTTGGCTTTTGTTTTTGAGGACATCACATTACTCAATGTAATCAAGAATAATACATTGTAGGCCGACAATTGCCACCCATTTGAACAATATCACCATTTAAACCAAACGCAGTGAAATAATTATATCAGAACCCATGACATACAGAGATCATTTTAGCGATGCTTTTTAATCTCCTCTGGTTTTTAATATTAACACATAATAGACTTACTAATACATGACAATATGCCTAATTGAATGCCATGTTTCTGGATAGGAGGCTTTAAAATATCTTTCGAGATGTCAGAATAATATAAGGATGTATCACGGACTCCAGAACAAGTACAATGCTGTATAGCAAGTAGCTAATAAGTCGCAGTTGCAGCCAAGCATCCGTATATAAACGTCCTGCATCCCCAATGAGGGGATGGTGCGTAAGGATACGCAGTGACGTTTCCAACTGGAGGCTACTCCGCAGCGATGTGAGGTGAACAGAGAGAGGAGGGAGACAGAGAGAGAGGGAGAACACTCAGTCCAACACTCAGCAGCATCATGGCACCTATCGGATTAAAGGCGGTGGTCGGCGAAAGTAAGATTATTTCATTATTAGCCTATTTTGCTCCGACTCTCGTGAGATGCGCTGTGCGAGCGAATGCGGTGGTCTTTGTGTGTGTTTTTGCGGGATGCGGATGTCAGCTAGTGCATCTGGAGGATGATGATGATGATGGTGACTACGATGGTGGTGCTCTTGGTGTTCCATTGTATCCTATAGCGAACCACAGCCGTGTAGTGAGGGAGTTGTGGATGACCTGCAGAGCCTGATTTGTCTCACAAGGCTGCTGCGGTGCGGATGCGCAATTGTATTCCAAGCGCGGGGAGACGTGAAAATGGATTTAACTAGCGGTGATTAGCCCGCTCATGAACGTAGCCACCCTGCCCCAGAAGGATGCAGAAAGCCTGGAGGCAAACGTAGCCCACGTACGCCCTTTTTAGCCTCACTCAGCGTTTATTTTTTAGGAATAATCTGCACTGCATAGGTTAACTGTGGCTTTGCTTGAATATTTTGCAAGACATCGCAGACACTTGCCTCACGTGCCTTATAGTTAATCCGAATCCGTGGGATTCCCTGATCTCAATGGTGCCTCACCCTTCTGATGGAGCATGAACCGGTTGCGTAAAACACCCTTTCTGCAGCCGGAGCGCTTCAGAGCTAAATCAAGCTGCTGTCAGTCCCGCAACGGAATAATGGCGGATTGTGTCCAAGACGAGAAAGTTGCTCTTACAACGTCGCTCCGCAAAGAAATTCCGCATTATCTGCGGGCCTACACGCTCTCCCGTCCAGTAACACTCAGCGAATGCCCTTTCATCACCGCCATGCCCTTTGCTGGCAGTGCGCCACCGATCAGCCTGTGCAATCCTGCATCATTATGGCTGTAGACTCGACTGTCCAGCGCTGGTTTTGTCATTTAGACTAATTTATTCCGGCTGATGCTCGGCTGTAGCGTTGGAGTGTGCGCTGCTGATGCGGGCCTGACCACGGAGGCGCAGCTCGATTCTGCTCAGCTGGGTCAGCTGGGTGCGAGTATTGGTGGTCGTGGTTATGTCAGACAGGCCTGCATAGTGACTTAAACACTGACAGAGACTACTTAATGTGAAGCCAGGTGGCATCTACATCACTAATGTTCTCCGGTAATTTCCCCAGCTGCGCGCTCTCTCTATTTTTAACGTGCCCCGCCCGTGGTGCAGGATTTGCTTCATTTGATGATATCTGTTGTTTTCATCTTATTGGTTCAGTTTCACATGTCACTACAGAAATCGCACGCACTCGCTCCGCAGTAATGTTTTGCTCTCTGGCAATAAAATCGCTGAATCTCCAAATGTCTTAAATCGTGTCGGGATCATTGGCACATTCATGTGCTGCAAATTCTCAGGCCCCCACCCCATCACACACACACACACACAAACACACACACACGCGCACACGCACGCACGCACGCGTGCGCGCGCAGATACACATCCAACTCCTCAGTCGTACTGTATTTTTCTGCTATATGATGGAGGGTGAAAGGGTTTGTGCTTTGGCTGGGAATCAGACCTCCCACATGAAGCTGAGACTTAACCACCAACAGTTATGAACCACAAAATGCAAACCCGCTTTGAAGCCCAGAATATTGTATTATGTAACAGATATGATGTGATTGGTGGTGTGTAAAGCTGTGAATGTTTAGTGTCTCAACCCACAACTTTTTCGACCCATTTAGTTTGACTTGCTTGCTTGGAATCTCTGATTTTAACAATGTCATTAGGTAAATCACTGAGATGATATGATCATGGTGTCATGAATAAAATCCAACTAATAATACTACATTACTGGCCAGTCCCGCTGTGGAGTTGGAGCAGATTTTTAATAGTACTTTTTTATCCTAGTGCTATATAATACTGTGGTTTTATATTTTATGGCCTGCAAGATTTTCTTTTGTAATATGGCAGATTTTTGTTTTAATCAAGGACCTAACATGGAAATTTGATAGAAATTATATAAAATGCACACCTACAACATTACACAATACAGCTTCACATGCCAAATATCCCTGCATGTTCTGCATTGCTTCTTTATTTAGGCCTTGTAACTGGCAATTACATAAAGCAGTTTGTAAGGCAGGAACACGCAGCCTCTGTGTCGAGTGAATCGTCTTTTCCAGACCAATGTAAACACTCGTGCGTGTTTCCCAGTAGACAGGGATACGGCAGGCAACACCTGCTTTCTGTTTGGCTGAGGTGAAGCCGGGATGGGATTGGTGGAGGTGGTGGGGGCAGAGAGATGGGAGGGGGGGCACGCACGCCGGGCACGCCACACCATCATGGGTCTTCTCTGCAGCAGTGGATGTAGCAGCCAGGAGGAAGGAGGGGGATGGGCAGCGAGCAGAGCTCTCACCCTCCCCTTCCGTGACTGTATATGAGCGTCAGTCCCAGAGAGCAACAGACGGAAGATAAAGCTGAATGATGAGGATCTCAGCTGCCGGCTACAACCTGAGATGGTAGATTGATTCAAAGCAATGCGCTCAGGTTGATGAAACTGAGGCAGCACGTGGTTCTTTTTGTAAATTACAATCCTGTCATTAAAATCAAACAATATTCAGTTTTTACATTCAGGAGGTGAACACTTTACAAAGCAATGCATATACGGCTGGTGCTTTGGATGTCATTATGTTGTGCAGGTGTTCATGTGAAGGGCTCCTGTGCCTTTCTTTATGCTCACCCAGACAACAGTCTGCGATGACTTGGTCACCGTCTTACACTCATTAAACTTAGATTCCTCTCTGAACATCTCTCTTTGTGGCATTTTGATCACTTTATTCATATCAGTCAGCTGATCAGAGTGACAGTCAAAAGGCACATCACACCTGCAACACTAAAAATCACTTCAGTTGTTTCTGTTCTTGTGTGTTGAGGGCAAGAATGCAGAGGTAGAAATAAACTGTAAGCATCTACTATCTTTTGTTTTGCCAAACTGTCAATTTCTTCCAATTCCATATTATACACTGTTACTATGGAATACTATGCCATATACCACCTACTGTTGCTATATCTTCAAAGTGTAATAGTGTTGGACAGTATAATACTGTTTGGTGTTGTAACAACCGGAAACTATGCAAGGCTTGTGCTGAAAGTTGCCACTCGAGTTGTGAGTGTTACTGGGCGTTGAACTGTATTTGTGACCATTCATGTTGTCTTGTCACTTTGAAAACATTTAAGTACTAGTTTGACATTTTGGGAAATATGCTGTCTTATTGAGGATGAGATAAGGAAATTGACACCCCTGTCATGTCTGTGCTGTAAGTACAGAGCAGGAGTAGGATGTGGCTAGCCTAGCTTAGCATATAGAGTGGAAGTAGGGGGAAATGTATAGCCTGGCTCTGTCCAAAGTTCAATTTCTTGGCAAACAGAAGCCAGGCGCAGTGACTATGCAGCTTCCCAGAGTCTTGACGTCACAGTGAGGTGACCAGGTTTGGTTTGGTTGTTCCTGTACACAGAGAAAAATCTGAGTCTGTGATTACCAATCGTATCACGGAGCCAGTGCTATAGCTGGAGACGCTGCACAGGAGTACTGAGCAGATAAATGAGCTAAATAGCTCCAACATTTAGCTCCCTCTGTAACCATACATTGTTGCTTTTGCATTCCACTTTATGTGCGGAATAAAAATTTAGATGTATTGGTATGGTTTATTTTGGTATTTGGATAGAGCCAGGCTAGCGGTTACCCCCTTTGTCCAGGCACTCTAGTGTAGGTACTTTACACAGATATGAAACTGACATGGATCTTGTCTTGGAAAGGAAGAACATACCTGCAAGTATCTGATTGGTTGTGATGACTCCGTTGACTCTGACTTGGAAGTATCTGGAAGCAGGCTGGTGTGTATTTGCTCCTCTGTGTAGGATTTTGAAGAAGAGAAGGAAGGTGGAAGGTGATACAGAGAAGGACACATGCATGCACATCGCTGCACACACAAACCAGCGTGCACACACACACGCACAAAGCTTTCATCTGACCTTGGAAGCATCACTGAACCAGAGCATCACACACTTGTCTGGGTTCAGAGTCTGACGCAGTGCCTGCAGCCCCTGGGCCTTCGTAAAACACACACACACACACACACACACACACACACACACAACAACAAATACTCTTGCACCCTGCAAGCGCACACAGTCCCAAATAAATCCATGCCGACATGTCATGTCGCTGTGGTTACAGAGCATGAAGGGCTGGCTGTAATAGAGCTCTCTAATTCAGGGTTGCAGTGGCTCATAATCTTAATGAATTCTCTTTCACTGAGGAAGAGTGCTGTGTCAGCTGGCAGACCTCCTCCTCCTCAGCAGCACGTGGTTGCTCTCTCCAGCCCCCTTTTGCAGACGTACAGTATGCACATACAGTGGAGACATATTTATCACATGTGTCAGAAATATCTACTGATAGAATATCGGTACAGTATGAAAGCCAAGTAGCGCCAGCCAAGATGCTATTGTCTGGAGAAAGAAGAAGAGGATGGATAGCATGACGTAATAATGTGTGAAGCTGTTGTTTTAACCATAAGAGGATTTTATATAAAATGATGTTGATGTGGCCCTTCATGATGTACATTAACCAGTACAGCTGAGCTGGAGGAGACCTCAGAGCTTCAGAAGGAGCCTCCCCTCCAGCCAGGTTGTTGCAGCATAGTGGATCGCTTGCTTTACAGTCTTATATACTGTCTGCTATTTTTAGCACCCTGGGCCTCTGTGAGTTGTTTCCCAGCTTCATTTAAATCCCTCTCTGGTTAGTTTCTTTATGGTGCTGAAAAAAGAGTAGCCGTCACTTGAATTTCTTCTTGAATTAATTCACCACGTATCAAGCGGATGCTTCCCTGCAGCTTCCTGCCCTTTCTGTTATAGAGCGGAAACAATTATCTGTTTAATCAGTTTGATAAATGGATGCATCAGTGACCATTTTGAATTAGGAATCCATTTTTAAAATCACAGTGAAACAACATTCAGCTTTCTTAATGTGTTGTATTTCCAATCAAAGTGGAATATTTGGGGTATAAATAA